TGTTGTTTCAAGGTCCTCTTAATATCTGTAAAGATAATAAATAACAATAATAATAATAATAATAATAATAATAATAACAACAACAACCACCAATGCAGTAAGTGCACCGTTGTTTTAGTCAGTTCTACGAATGAAACTGTTAAATATAGCACCTTACACATTAATATAGTTTCTAATGACATAGTTAGCCGAGTTGACGTCCTGTTAAAAGGACTGTTAAGTAGCTAAACCTGTTAGCTACTTAGCTAACCGCTTTAGACCAGTCATGTACGGTTGTTTACAGTCAGTTGGCCAAATAGGACATAAAAAGCTCTACTCATAAATAGAAAGAAAAGAAACATACCGATTGCTTCTTTTGCTTATTAGGCTGTTGAAAATTAGCACATATGAGGAGAGATTAAAAATATGTTCTGCTGCCAGGTCTGTTTTATCAGAACAGAACCACCCAATTTACGCTAACAGCCAATAACATGAGGCACAATAAAAACACCAGCCAACGAAAATCAAGTGTCCCACCCACTTTACTACAGCTTCCAATCCAGTCGGCAAAACTGCTATACTTCCTGGTCTATAACATTTTACGTAACACGATAAATAGAAAATAGACAACTCTACATAGATGTCGCCTTGGAGCAATGTGTCAATGCATTCGCCATATTGCCACGGGAGGATATCTTGGAAAACGTAGCAGTCTGCAATTGCAAAGATCTGTCTACAAGTAAAATCACCAGCCAATTAAAACAATTTTTTAATACTTTATTTATCAATTTTCACAGCATGTTCCTTACAGAATTTATGTTTTATACAACGCTGTTAACAAATAAAACCCCAACACGTGACAAAAGAAAAAACAAACAAACAAACAAAAAAACAAAAAAACAAAAAACAAACGCTTTAAACCAGTTTTTAAGTAGCTGGGCTGTTTTTTGTTTGAGTTCTGCGTAAGCATATATATATATATATATATATATATATATATATATATATATATATATATATATATATATATATATATATATATATATATATATATATATATATGTGTGTGTGTGTGTGTGTGTGTGTGTGTGTGTGTGTGTGTGTGTGCGTGTATTTGATAATTTATGTAGAAATCATTATTTTATGGATAGCCTAAAACAAAATAAATGTTGGGGGCCCCTGGTGGACGCGGTGGACGCATGCTTCGCCAGTAACATGAGTTAGTAAGCAAAACAGTGTCTCAAAAAAGGACTTATTCTTCAGGGAGAAAGAAAAGAAAGAGGAAGAATAGAAAACAGCCAAGATAAATGTTTGTTTTAATATGTCTTGGTAATGTAATGTAAAAGATTTGTGAAGCTGCTTATAGAAAATTAGCTTCATAGCGACCTGGAACGGTCCAGTTTAACGGTCCAGTTTATTTATGCTAGTGTCTTTGTGTTTGGATGAAACTAAGTTTGAACTTTAAATGAGTCGATTCTCATGCCTGGCTCTGTATTATATTTCTGAGATATTTTTGGCTTCAAAACGGCGTGTTTGAAAACGTTTGATAACAATAATCAAAACTTCTCAATGTTTGACATTACCTAGTAAAATGTTTTTACATCAGGCTACATCTGCAACATCGATGAACTATTCTCTATGCTGCAGTTGGGGATATGTTTGCTGCTGAGAAAAATCATTTTGTGGCTAAAACAAACATTATTTTTACATCAACTTCTAAGTTATGTGAAAATCATAACTTAGAAGTTATGATTTTCACATAAATCATATGTCAGTCCAGTACTAATCCACATTCTCAAAGGAGAAAGACTCACCTGGTATAAATAAAAATTTTAGCTATTGGAGTAACACTTAAGAGAAATTTATTTCAGCAAAGAGTGTCATGAATATGTGTTTATGTATTCTATCTTAAGTTTGGCTGCACCTATTGCAGTTCTCTGGTCTATCCCTGGTTACCGATCTTTAATAAAGAGCCTGACCTGCTGATTTTGACTTTGACTGATATAATTTTTTTGTCTGAAATGTTGCTAAATAGAGCAGGAAAGTCAGTGAGTTGGTAACAGTGGGGTGAATATTGTTAACTACAAAAGTGCAGAGCCAGGGCCGGCTCCAGGCACAAGCAAACTAAGCAGCCTCTTTGGACCTCAGGTTCACCAAGGGGGCCCATCAGTGGAGCAGATTTTTTTTTTAGTAACAATTTTTGTCATTATTATAACAAAAACACAATTTCCTCATGAAGTTATTTGTTTTTACAGTAATATATATTTGATGATGTATGTAGAAATCTATTTTATGGGCAAAAAGAATCAACTAAGTAACTTAAATTAGTTGATTTTCCTGCTTGGCTCTGCATATTTCACAGGTTTTTTTAGCTTCAAAACAGCATGTTTGATAAGGTTTGATAAGAATAATTAAAACTTCTCAATGTTTGACATTGTCTAGCAAATAGTTTTACACCAGGCTATATGGCTACTACATTAATATATCAATGAGCAGTTCTAAGCTGTAGTTGGTAATGTGTTGTTTTCTGCTGATCATTTATGTGGCTAAAACAAACAATATTTTTACATCAACTTATAAGGTATGTGAAACTTCTGTTAAAATCATTTGAAGGCTCAGAATCAACCCGGTACCGGTCTACATTCTAAGAGGAGAAAAACTCAACCTGGTGTAAATTCAATTTTTAACTATTGGAGTTACACTTAAGAGAAATTAATTTAATCAAAGAATGTCATTAATATTTGTGTAGGGCTGCACTGATTGCAGTTTTCTGGCTAGCCCCAGTTACCGATATTTAGAAAGCCTAACCTGCCGATTTTGATTTGGGCCAATACCAATTTTTTTTGTCTGAAATGTCGCTAAAAACAGCAAGAAAGTTGCTGAACTGGCAACAGTGAGGTCAATATTGTTAACTGTAAACGTTCAGACATGACCTGGTGGGTCATGTCTGAACGTAAATCAAAGAGGCTGATATTTAAAGCTTTGCTGACAAAAATAAGATTAGTGGATAAGATGGGGTTCACATGTAAATATGGGCCAATTATGATCCCCCAAAATGAAGGAAATCGGCACCCAGAAATCAACTGGTTGGCAATTGTATCCTATATTATATATGCATAGGATAAAATGTAAACAGCACTATCAGAGATGCAATAAGTTTATAGCAGGTGTACAGTGATCTAATATTCTAACTATTGATTCCAGCTGGAACACATTGTTAGCAGAAATAGAGGTCCCCGAAACCAAATTTTGCTCATATTCCCATGGAGGCTTGGGCCGGCCCTGCCACACAATTTCACATTGTCAAAATAAACTTTATTTATCTGAGTTCCTGTTGTCCTGATTGTGTTCTGTATGACAGAATCCTTTACAGCAGGGGTGGGCACTCCAGGTCCTTGATGGCCGGTCTCCTGCAACTTTTAGATGTAGGCTATCTCTATTTCAACACACCTGAGTCAAATACTGAGGTCATTAGCAGGACTCTGGAGAACTTGATTGTATTTAGGAGGTGATTCAGCTATTGGATTCAGGTGTGTTGGATCAGGGAGACAACCAAGAGTTGCAGGACACCGGCCCTCGAGGACCAGGAGTGCCCACCCCTGCTTTACAGTGAGTGGGGAATGTAGAAGTTTATTCAAAATAGAGGAGTCATGATGTGTATAAGTTGCACATTTATGGAATGCAGATACTTTCTGCATGTCTTTGCATGTCTTTTTTTTTTTTTATCCTTGATGCCCGTAGTGCCTTTATTTTTGTTTATTTTGATTTTTTTTTTTTTGTCAGGAGGCCTGCTTGTGTCCCTGAACAATATAATTTAAATGAATTGATCTGGCTGCCCTTGATGTAATGACTGAGGATTCTCAATTCCTCTGCTCCATGTTAAGACACCTGGCCCATGGTGTGGAGATACATCCTCTACCAAATTATGGGCGAGAAGATTTTTTGAAAAAAACATGTCTATTTCAAAAACCTCTTTCTATTTTTTATTGTCATATTAGTCTCTTTGCCTGAGACACAAATGGTTCAGATGCAGGGAAAACTTCTGACTTTAACTTTTTCAGGCTGCCCCAGTGAGGGACCACAGGCAGCCTCAGGGCCGCTTCTGGGCAGGCGAAAATGTTAAGGGGGCATGATTATGCTTTACATATTAGGGGTTGAAACAAAGATGAAGTTGATTTCCGATTCCAGGTTCCGATTCGAAAAATTGCTAATGAGTGATTCCACTTAATTTTTTCCTGCCTTCCGGATATGTAATCTACAACACATGGACATTTCAAACCCGGACTATATTATTCTCAACTAACAGAATATTTAAATTTACATTATTTGTGAGACCTTTTTCTGATTTGTGAAACAGAGCCTGCTTTGCATCTGAATCACACTAGAACTGCTCTAAATCCAAAACTACAAGACCTAGACTCTTCAAACCTGGATTGGATTATTCTAATATTCTGCTCTAATAGAGTATTAGGATCAGAATTTATAACCATGCGACCATGTGAAACTAGTCTGATTTGTGAAACTTCAATAAAGGTTGATTACGCCACTTTTTTCTGGATCACACTAGAATTTCAGTAATGCTCCCAGCTCAGACCACAGTTCCCTGTTTAAATTAACATAAATTATTCTTCTGTGTCTCTGAAGGACCACCCCTTGGTCACTACAGTTTTGGGGTTAGTTCATAGGGGACAGACCTACCATTGGCCAGAGAGCTTATCGCCCATACGTTGACATCAGTGAAGTTGAATACATAATGAGCTATGCCCTGGCTTCGGTGTTTTCCTTGTTCTACTCTCAGACTAGCATTGGAAATGGTCAGCAGGCTTCTGAGGGCTAAATGCTGAACTCCAGCATAACAGTGATGCTTTAATGGAAACAACAAAAACTATAGCTTTAACACAGAAGAATATAGTGGTAAATGCATAATTAGTTTGCTTTCCACCTGGATTACTTTTTCAATTTGGATTTTTGGTGGTTTTACGGCTATAGAGACCAAGGAGACTGGAGGGACAAGGAGCAAAATGAAACAACTTCTCCTTGCCACATATCTGTCAGCCTTTAGTAAGTACAGATCAAAGTTTGTGTTGCATATGTTATGTTATGCTGTTGCATAACATGGTATACGTTACAAACATGAATGCAATTATGAATTTAGCCTAATCTAACAGAAATAGAATCCTGTTAGATTATTGGTCACATCTGTCATTTTTAGGGGTAAAATTTTAAAAATGTGGGGAATCAGCTCAGCTACATTCAAAAAGTGCAATCTTAACTTTCAAAGCATTCATCTAGACCATGCATAAGCTTTAAAAATATCTAACAAGTAAAACTTCTTGTCTAATTTGATAATATCAAATAAGTAGTATTAATCTTTAAAAGTGATATTTTCAGGGTATTCTGAATTACCCTGATTCTGAAATATTTTTCACATTTAAAGTCTGAAGTGAAAATGTTATCCTTTTAGTTTTAAGTAGTTTGTTTTTACCAATAGATGAAGAAAATAAAAAAATTAAATTTAAAAGAGACAGCTTTTGTACGAGAGAAGTGCAGGTGTTAGATGGTCTGTCTTCAGCCAGAAAATGGTTCCAACCTCTGACCTTTGCTTTTTTTGTTGGGTCAAAAGAGCAGTCTGGGTCTGGAGGGGGTATGGACAAAATAGTAATCCTAAAAGTCCTCAGACCCCAGTGATTTGACTTTGACACCATCATTTCCATAACACTGCCCCCTGTCTCTGCTCATAGTGAGACTTTAATAAGGAAATGTGTTTATGGGGTAATCCCCGTACAGCTGGCCATGGCTGTGTCCTACCCCTCTATCAGGCTTTGGATCTATTGTTGGTTAACCCAGCAGAAACCTCCTTTGGTCACAGAGAGTCAAAGGGTCTTTTTTGCTGACGTTTCCTGCAGAGAAATAGAAACAAGACAAACATCTCAATCTGGAGAAGATTTAAATAAGGAGATTTAAATCAAGTAAAGGTATCATTATGAATCTCCTAATGCAGTACTTGAATTTTTCAAAGCAAAATGAAATTACTTCTTATTTCTCAAGTTTAAACTGTCATGGAAAGTTGTTTTTAATTGACATATTTTTTTTAGTTTGGGTTATTTCATTAAAATTTATTTTAAAAAGTGATTGAAATAATTATTTGGAGTTGAAGGCCACTTCAGGTAGAGCCTTAAAAATCTGAACTGTATGTTCATGAGACAGTTGTACACACCTGTTTTTGTACAAATGACTGGTGCTTGTTTCAAAAATATGCAGAATGAAGATCTGCCGTTGTTTTATGCTGAAAAACCAACGTCATTGTCCAACGTCATTGTTCAATAAGAACATTGTGAAGTTCAATAAGAGTGTGTAAAGATGTGGGAAGTAAAATGTGGATGTAAAAGTCTAAGGTTTGCTGTTAAGTTGATATTTTATGATGCAGAATGCTGCAGTCATCTGGATACCTTGATATTAATCTGGAAATATACCAGTTTTATATAATGCATCAAAACTCAGCTCGCAGGGACTTAGAAAAGCAAAGTTAAGAAGAATATTCATGGTGATTTTGCAAATGTGGAAAAACAAATTGGAATAGAAAACATTTTTTATATAACTCACACACATAGCAATTATAAAATAACCTTTATTGTTCTGCAAATTTATAAGACATACATTTTTAGAAGCTCAAATCTTTAAAGTACTCTAAAAATTCAACATCATATAGAAATGGATTGAGAGAAGGAAAGGGAAGCATTAACATGAAGTTAAGGAGACTACAAATCCCCCCATTTTTTTAGTGCCATTATTGGAAAGAGGGGATTGTAGATATGTGAAGTTCAGAACCTGCTTAGACAAATTATATGACTTATTCAGAATGTAGTATTTTCTGAGACCCAACCTAATACAGATGTATACTAGCAATGACAAACATTTTCAAACAGCAGAAGAGAATATACAAATGCGCCCATCCTCCCCAATCTACATATCTCTCCTTGACCTACAGTGTCCTCATGACCTCTGGGGGTCCTGTCGTCCCAATCACCAGATACTATTGACAAGATTTCTTGGCATTTCCATCTCTTAATAAAATTTCATGATAGTAATAATCCAGTCTTGGAAGAAGTTGTGCTCAGTAAATTTTAAATCATACATGCTCAAATATTCATAGGTGCACTTGAATATCTTAAATGTTAAGAAATATACCACTAATTTTGAACTGTATTACATCTTATATACAAAAACATCATGAATCCATTTAAAGACCCGATCTGTAACGGAAAATAAGAGCTTAGGAAATTAACTGAATGCCTTGATAAGAAACTTTTGCATTTGACAACAAGCTTTAGAGAGCATTTTAAACTGAAAAAGTAATGTTTTTTTATCCAAACTTTGGGTAACTTTTTGAAGGGTTTAATATCCACTTTGATGTCTAAGACAAAACCTAACATAGAGCTAAAGAATATACACATTCAAAACCCAACAGAATGGCTGCATATTTTTAAGTGAAGACACAGCCAAACCAAAAGGTGAAGTTCTCAATGTATAGATTCTACTCTTATATATATATATATATATATATATATATATATATATATTATATATATATATATATATATATATATATATATATATATATACACACACAACTCAACATCAGTGATCCTTGAGACGCTTGACTATAAGAGCAACCATGAGACCCAATACCCACAATTGCAAAGATGGCTAGAGGCTAAAATCAAGGTAACAAGGAGGGAAGTGAGCCAACTGTCAGAACTCCACAAGGGTGCAATGAAAAGTCCAGCACCCAGAAAGTACAGGCAGATGCCCATACCTGAAGCACTCGAAACTGCCAAACAGAGGCTCCAAGCCTTGGCCAGCCGCCTAAAGAGATACACAAGGGAGAATGAAGCCAGAAGGATTAACCGGCTCTTCTCCACTCAACCAGTTAAGGTGTACTCTCAATGGCAGGGTAACAATAACAACAGAGCAGACCCACCAAGGCTGGAGACTGAACAATACTGGAAAGGCATATGGGAAAGGGAGGCGTCCCACAACAGCAATGCACAGTGGCTGATCTCTCTACGAGAGGACCACAGCAACCTCCCTGAACAAGCCCCGATAACCATCACTGTGACAGATGTTCAAGAAAGAGTCTCAGGTATGAAAAACTGGACAGCACCAGGGCCTGACATGATCCATGCTTTGTGGCTAAAGAAACTCACTGCTTTCCATGAGCGACTGGCAGCCCAAATGAGCCAGCTGCTACAAAGTGGGACTCACCCTGAATGGCTAACTGAAGGGCGGACAATCCTAATCTAGAAGGATCCATCAAAGGGTCCAGTCCCACCCAACTACCGACCAATAACCTGCCTCTCCACAACCTGGAAGCTCGCGTCAGGCATCATAGCGACTAAGATAAGCAAACCCATGGATAAACACATGAGCACGGCACAGAAAGGTATCGGTGTAAATAGCAGAGGAGCCAAACACCAACTCCTCGTAGACCACACATAACAGCAGACTGCAAAACTCGACACACCAACCTGTGCATGACTTGGATTGATTACAAGAAAGCCTATGACTCAATGCTGCATACTTGGATCATTGAATGCCTAGACATGTATAACATCAACAGGATTCTGAGAGCCTTCATTGCAAACTCGATGAAGCTGTGGAAAACCACCCTTGAAGCCAACTGCAAACCACTTGCACAAGTGTCCATCAAATGTGGCATATACCAAGGAGATGCTCTGTCCCCGCTACTGTTCTGCATGGGCCTGAACCCCCTCAGCCAAATTATCAACAAGACTGGCAACGGATACAGACACAAAAATGGGGCCAATATCAGTCACCTACTCTACATGGATGACATCAAGCTGTATGCCAAGAGTGAGCGAGACATCGACTCACTGATCCACACCACCAGGATCTACAGCACGGACATTGGGATGTCGTTCGGACTAGAGAAGTGTGGTCGGCTGATCACAAAGAGGGGGAAGGTGATCCGCACAGAAGGAGTCTCACTCCCACAAGGAACAATAGCAGACATAGAGGACAGCTACAAGTACCTGGATATACCACAAGCAAATGGCAACCTCGGTGAGGCCACAAGGAAAGGAGCCACAGCTAAATACCTCCAACGAATAAGGCAAGTCCTGAGAAGCCATCTCAATGGCAAGAACAAAATTCGTGCGATAAACAGCTATGCCCTGCCAGTAATCAGATACCCTGCTGGAATAATTAGCTGGCCAAAGGAGGAGATAAAAGCCACAGATATTAAGACTAGAAAACTACTAACAATGCATGGAGGGTTCCAGCACCCTGAGACTGTACACGAGCCACAAGGAAGGAGGCAGAGGACTAGTGAGTGTGAGAACCACTGTGCAGGACGAAACAACTAAGATCCATAAATACATCAGGGACAAAGCCTCAACAGACAATGTGCTCAGTGAATGTCTCAGACAACAGGGAACGGAGGTTGAGGTGCCAGAGATACCATCATGGGAGGACAAGCCCCTACATGGGATGTACCACCAGCAAATAACCCAAGTGGCTGATATCAGTAAATCCTATCAATGGTTGGAAAAAGCTGGACTCAAGGACAGCACAGAGGCCCTCATCCTGGCCGCCCAGGAACAGGCCCTAAACACCAGAGAAATAGAGGCCCAGATCTACCACACCAGACAAGACCCAACAGGACAAGACCCCTTGTGCAAGGAGGCCCCTGAGACAGTCCAGCACATAACAGCAGGGTGCAAGATACTGGCAGGGAAAGCGTACATGGAGCGACATAACCAAGTGGCAGGCATAGTGTACAGAAACGTCTGTGCAGAATATGGACTGGAAACCCCGAGATCAAAGTGGGAAACACCCCCAAAGGTGGTGGAGAACGCCAGAGCTAAGATCTTGTGAGACTTCCAGATCCAGACAGACAAAATGGTAATGGCAAACCAACCAGACATTGTCGTAGTGGATAAACATCAGAGGAAAGCTGTTGTGGTAGATGTAGCAATACCAAGCGATTGCAATATCAGGAAAAAGGAGCACGAGAAACTGGAGAAATACCAGGGCCTCAGGGAGGAACTGGAGAGGGCCTGGAAGGTGAAGACCACAGTGGTGCCTGTGGTCATCGGGGCCCTCGGGGCAGTAACCCCCAAACTGGAGCAGTGGCTACAACAGATCCCAGGAACAACATCAGACATCTCAGTCCAGAAATGTGCAGCAGTCCTTGGCACAGCCAAGATACTGCAGGACCCTCAAGCTCCCAGGCCTCTGGTAGAGGACCCGAGCTCAGAGGATAAGAACCACCCGCGGTGGGTGAGAAGGGAACATATATATATATATATATATATATATATATATATATATATATATATATAGGGTCCAGGCCTCTGGTAGAGGACCCGAGCTCAGAGGATAAGAACCACCCGCGGTGGGTGAGAAGGGAATTTTTATATGTATGTATATATGTATAGTTGCTGCTCTTCCATATGCAGAGAAACCAGATAAGATAGATAGATAGATAGATAGATAGATAGATAGATAGATAGATAGATAGATAGATAGATAGATAGATAGATAGATAGATAGATAGATAGATAGATCGGTACTTTCTTTCAGTTGAACTCTTCATTAATCTTAAAGCACAAATAAAAGACCAAGCAGTTTACCATAATCGGGTGATAAAATATTTTCAGAAGGCAGTACAGAACTTGGACCAGTTGGATTCTGGTTCCTGGGACAGGATGGGAATTCAATTCAATTTAAAAATACTTTTATGGTCCTGAAGAGAAATTAAATGTTGCTATAATTCATTCTTTTAAGGTTGCTTAAAGAGACTCTGCTGTTTTTTCTGAACCATCTCCACCCCCTTTTGACATACTTTTATTCATACCAGTGACAAAGGTGGTGGGGGCAGGGAGTAGGGGGTTGGTGGCAGGAAGATAACAAAGACAGTTATCTTGAAGTTTTACAATAAATCTTGCATATTTCAAGTGTTTGGATTAGTCAGGAACTAATGTATGTGAAAAAGGCAGATATCAATCCAAATATGTATTCTGACACAAATTCCTGTGCTAAAAACTGTAAACCTGAAGAAAAAACATGTGGGGTGTTGTTATGGCTTCTTTTAGAATGAACCTGCTTAGATATAATATATGACTTATTCAGAATGTAGTATTTTCTGAGACCCAACCTAATACAGATGTATACTAGCAATGGCAAAAATTTTCAAACAGCAATAAAAAATGAATTCTGACTAAATCTTATTCCCTACCCCCATATGCTCATAGAGACCTGAAATTATTCCTAGGGTTGAGGGTTGGGACACTGCTTCCCCAGGGTGACCAGGGCGCATAGAATCAGCAGAGTGGGAGGCGACTCATTACTGCCTTTCATGACTGGATTTTCTTTAACTATCAAGCCTTTATTAAAAGCATGAAAATAGCTGAGAAATCAGCATTATTTAAAAATAAAGTAAAATAAAGAGAAATTAAAATTAACCAGTTTTTGGCCTTTTCCTTTTTAAAAATTTTTTTTCTACTCTCATGGCTTTTATTGATAGTGATCTGACAGGCTGGTGGGTTGTGAGAGGGTGAGAACTTGCTACAAAAGTCAATGGACTGTGAAGCAAATCTGTGACTGTGATTCCATTTAATCACAGTCATGCAGATCTTAGAAGAGAAACCTAGAACCTCAGTATGTGTACATAAGGAAAAAGGAGAAATTGTTGAGGTTGACACTGAACTGCAGAGTTATTTCATAGGTAGAGAAAATATTGTACTGTACTGTATTGCATCACTATTTTTAACAAATTCTCATTTTCATTCAAATTAAATGCCAAAAACTTGATCAACAAAACTCTGCTCAAAACCTAGTACAAATTCATTCCCTTGGTGTTTTTGTTATCTAAGAGTCAGAAGAAAGTCAAGATACATGATTGATTTTTGACAATGAATTACAATTCTTTTAGGTTAAAGCCCTCTTTGCCATTACACTAATATTTAGATTCCTTCAGAGCTGAATAAAAGGGAAATAAAAACATTTTTTTTCCTATTATTGATGATCATTTTACAGTGTTTAATAATGCTGTGAGAGATGCCTGTTTTTACTTTCTATCAAAATAGAATTAATTTATTAGAAATTTTGGACACAACTGTATTTTTTTCAAGGCTATTTTATGTTTACCCAACTAACCCATTGCAGTGCAAAACCTCCTCCTTGTGAATTATGTATTTGTAGTAGATAGAATTTAGTTAATGGATTGATGTCATAACTGATAAATGAAAATTACCTAGCCTCTGACTCAATGATATAAGATAATGTTATATTATACATTAACAATGAACATTAATATGAGCAGTGGTCCCACAGTCCAAGCATTAGCGAGGATCCAGATACTTGATGACGACTAAACAACCAATGTGTTTTAGACAAGCACAATTCAAACCTCCACAGTGACATTGAGAATATCCCTCACAAGTTCACGTTCAAGGATGATTGTTAGTGCTTTACAGCTGGGAAGCTGAGAATCTTTTGTTAAGCTTTGGGGTTCTTTGCATTTGAGGACATTAACACCAAAAAAGACTGGGGGTGCCACCATGATCATGGAGAAAAGAGGACAAGGGTGAGGATGAGAGATTTGGTAGCATGGGAAAGTCACCTCAGAGATGGATCTGAAAGGATGAGAAAAGTCGGGAGGGAGTGACTGAAATTATAAAGAAGGGGCAGATGGTGCCCCTGGGTGTATGGTGGATGATGGGAACTTTTAACTAAAATTACTGGGGGTTGGGTGCAAATATCCACAATCACAGTGCTATTGTCATCAGTAGCCCCTGCTTCAATAGAGGGTCTACAATCTTGACCTGGCAACACTTTCAGTCTTTTTTTTCTCTTCTGGAGCTTGAACATGATGTTAATATTGTCCTCACCAGATCCTTGGCTTGCTTGCCTCTGAAAACTAAGTTAGATTTACTGGCATTCATCTTGATCCTTTTTTATGGCAAGTTTTCTTCTGCGCATACATTCTAAGTCAGCCCAGACATCTATCAGTCAGCAAACTAGTTAGTTTTTCACTGACCACTTTTGAATAATGCATAATTTTTCTTATTTTGGAGATTTCACAAGCTATTGATAAGTTAGTGTTTAACCATGCTTAAATGAATAAATAAGAAAACATTTTTTTTTCAACAGATAAATTAAATACACAGTACAGACCAAAAGTTTGGACACAACCTTCTCATTCAATGGGTTTCCTTTTGTAGTGGTGATTGTTTGTTAAACCAAACATCCAATAAAAAAGTTCCATCTGCCACTATGAGGCACTGGGGTCAAGATTCTTGACACAGGCAAAAGAAGTTTAAGGTCCAAACTTGTTGATTATCTTGGTTGCTTTTATTTATTTATTTATGCAAGCAATTACAATTATCCAACTTTTCTTTGTTCTCCTGACCTCTCTGGCACTGGTAAACACCATAGGCCCCAAACCCCAATGCCTGCCTGCTGGTCCTTTACCAGGCCCCTACATTTATAGAATGTGGACTGACCCACCTTACTTCCTGTCTGGCTTACAAATAATAAAAAATAGGAAAAAATAAGAAAACGAAACAAAAAATAAAATCAATTATTAACCTGCAAAATTCAAATGGATGAAGAAATAAAGAATAAATAGCTCCAGCACCTTTATTTTCATGACTATTTATAAGGCAAGAAATCTACTTATTAACCTGACAGGTCACACCTGTGAAGTGAAAACCATTTCAGGTGATGACCTCTTGAAGCTCATCAAGACAATGCAGTGTGTGCAGAGCAGTGATCACAGCAAAAGGTTTCTACTTTGAAGAAACTACAATATAAGGCATATTTTCAGTTGTTTTACACTTTTTTGTTTAGTACATATTGTATTTCCACATGTGTTAATTCATAGTTTGATGCCTTCAGTGTGAATCTACAATGTCAATAGTCATAAAAATAAAGGAAACTCATTGAATGAAAAGGTTTGTCCAAACTTTTGGTCTGTACTGTATCTTACCTATTAACTGCCTTTCTCTTTTTGTCTGCAGGTTGTTGCTTGGGCTCAGAACTGTCATTCATACTGGAACCAAGTGATGTGATCGCAGTAAGGGATCAACCACTCATGCTGGACTGCCAGGTGCAAGGCGAGCAACCGATTACTATCACATGGCGTAAAAATGGATTGCTCTTACCTTTCAGCCCACGAATCCAGGTACTGGAAAATGGAACACTGTTGATCCATAGATTCCAGAAACGCAGAGAGGGGACTGATGCAGACATGGCCGAGTATGACTGTGCTGCACAGAATCGTTATGGCTTGTTGGTGAGCCGCAAGGCCAAAGTTCATTTGGCGAGTAAGTATTCAACTATCTCTCTAGAAGGAAAATAAAAAAATCTGAATCATTTTAAATGTATTAAAACCATATTTTGTAAACTGGGTACATTTACTGTGTACTTGTGCATCTTGTCCGATTAGATTCAAGTTACTCAGGCCTGGGCAGTAAGTCACCTGTGCAACAAATAAGACTTAAAATTCTGTGATCTAAGAACGCCTGATCACATAATAACAATTAACCATATCTGCCAAGGTAAATGATGACGAATAACTATTGTGAGTAGTCCCTAACATTAATATGATCGGGGAGCATGCAATTATATGCATGCTCCCTTTATAACAATTATAACCTTTATTATTGTCATAAAGGTTGAGCCAAGAAAATATTTGTCTTTATCAAACAAGAAGCCCTTTGTGTTACTTTGTACCCATGAAGTAGCTCCCAATCTCAAGAAGGTTAGTGACCTATGTTCTAATGGCTACAGGCAGAAATATTCCCCATGTCGCTCTGTATGACATGGGAAAGTGCTCTGTGGTGCACTTTGGTATAATAAGTTTTTGGTTGAAGTTGCTCCTGCAGCCAGCCAGCACATTATGAAGTGGATGAGACTCATTGTCCAACATGACCTGCATCTTGGACATCATCCTTGTCTCTGACACCTCCGTCAGAGAGTCCAGCTCCACTCCAATCAGTATCTGTAGCACAGCACCAACATGGACTATTTAGATCAATCAATCAATCAATCAAATTTTATTTGTATAGCACATTTCAGCTACAAGGCATTTCAAAGTGCTTTACATCATAAACACAAAACACAAAGGCATACAACATAGAATAAAATACCAAGTTTTTTTTTTTTTTTTCCCTCTTTTTTCCCTTTCTTCCCCCTTCCCTTGACACGGAATTTAAGCGCCTGTTACCGCCGGACTCCGCCGTCCGTTTAACCACGGGTATTCGCCGGGCCCCGTTGCCCACAACAGGGAAAAAAAAAATAAAAATTACATACATATCCACAAAATCAAATCCATACATATTACATTTCAAATGCAACTCTAAACAGGTGCGTTTTTACTTGAGATTTGAAGGAAGTCAGGGTTTCCGCTGTTTTACAGTTTTCTGGAAGTTTGTTCCAAATTTTTGGTTCATAGATGCTGAAAGCTGCTTCTCCTCTCTTGGTTCTGGTTCTGGGGATGCAGATCAGACCAGAACCAGAAGACCTGACAGGTCTGGAAGGTTGATTCAACAACAGCAGATCTTTGATGTATTGTGGTGCTAAACCATTCAGTGATTTGTAAACTAACAACAGTATTTTAAAATCTATTCTTTGAGCTACAGGGAGCCAGTGGAGGGACTTTATAACTGCTGTTATGTCTCTATTTTCCTGGTTTTAGTGAGAACGCGAGCAGCAGCATTCTGGATCAGTTGCAGCTGTTTGATTGATTTGTTGGAATTGAAAACTTGGAAATGAACAAACTTTGTTGATCTCTTATCTTAAACCAACTCTAGAACATTATTTTTCAAGTGATAACTTGGATTTCACACTTTCCAGTTTACTCTTCAGGGGAAAAAATATGTACAAAGTGTCAAGGTTTATTTTCTGATTCCATTTTTGCTAGAATCAACTTTCCTGTTCATCAAGAAGAAACACAGTTGTGATCTTATTTTCATAAAGTGCTTTGGCATTATGATGTTTCATTAACAGATCCCTTCTCTATAGAAAGCTCACATTGATTGTGGCCATGACATTAGAAACTTTTCATGCATGTGAGCAGGTACATTTGTGTAAGTGTAAGAAAGTCTAGAAATCACAGTCAGAAATTTGTACACAAATGTATGTATGCTAGCTCAAATAAATAAGTGAAATTTTCTGTAACTTTGTCAGCTGTTGGAAGATTACCAAGAATGTTAAACAACTGCTGATTGAGAAGCAGAAACTTAGTTTTATTTGATTATTTTCTTATTTATTCATGTAGCTCTTCCAAAGTTCCACACTCATCCAGTATCCATGTCTGTGAATGAGGGAGGAGTTGCTCGCTTCCAGTGTCAAATACATGGTATTCCTGAGGCTACCATAACATGGGAAAAAGATAAAGGACCGCTGAACACTTCTGACAGCAGGTAAAATCAACCACAAGTATGCAACTATTTGCATTAAATCTTCTACAGAAATAGGACACTGTCTTGTACCTTCAGATAAAAAATGTAATAACTAATGAGTTCCATTATTACTTAAAAGCAAAGTATTCTGCTACTTTTATATTTATTTCAAAAGGTTAAAAAAATCAATTGAAAATCTATATATACAGTTGAAAACAAATTTATTTACTTACAACAAATAAAAAGAAATTTTTTCTCACTGTCTGAAATTAAATCATACCAAACTTCTCTTGTTTCAGGTGGCTCATAATTACCAATATTATTTCCATCAAGTTTCAAGTTTATTTTTACAGCACATTTCAGAAACAAGGCAGTTCAAGATGCTTCACATCATAAAAGCACATAAATAGAAAGTCATAGAATACACAGTCAACAACTGAAGCACAGTATTTTGTCAAGTGCCATTGTTATACATCAGAACAATGATTAATGTTTTATTGATTATGTTTCAGAAACAACTCTAAACAGATGGGTTTTTAGTCTAGATTTAAAGACAGTGTTTCGGCTGTTTTGCAGTTTTATGGAAGTTTGTTCCAGATTTGTAGAAATAGAAGATGAATGCTGATTCACTATCATCATTAAAAACACCACTCACCTTACCTGGGCCTCCAGCATCTGCCTCAGCACCTCACCACCACCACTACACTGCAGTCCATGACACTAATACTAATAAGAAATATATCTTACATACCATAACAGTAATAAGGAGTTATCATTTTTTTATGTTTTTAATTAGATTTGATGTACTTATTTCTTTAATATTATTTTTTTTGTTTTGATGGTGTTTATATAATGTGGCTGTTCAGTGACTCCATGACACTTTCAATCTGGCTCATTAGGATTTGATCAAGAGCCAGCTTTGGTCTAAAATGGCACAGAACAAGAATATTATTTTTCTCTCTGATTGGCTGCTGTTATGCCTGCTGATTATAAGTTGAATGTCCATTTCATTTTTTGTAGATGCCTTTAGAAATTCACAAAGCTTTTTTGTTCTCTTGGAAATTATTTTTATTATAAATACAGAAACAAGCATAGAATTCAAAACATCAACAACAGTGATAGTAATATTAATAATGCTATACTGTTCAGTGCAAAGTAGCCCACAAATTATTTGATGGGGGCGGTGAGGGACCCGGATAAAGAACAGGGGGGTGCTGGTCCAACAAAGGTTGAGAAACACTGATTTAGTGTTTGTAAATGTCTGATTTCACCTGTATGTCTGATTTGATTCACATGTGAATAGACACATTCTCATCAAATGCTTTTAAAAATAACAGCATTAACTTACAAGAGTTTTATTTTCACATTTCTGATTTGGAAGTAGTAATATTAATAGTTTGTTAACCTTTTGGCTTCCTGTCCAGGTACATTCTTCTTCCAATGGGTATTCTACAAGTAACAGGTGTAAGGAGGGCAGACTCTGGGATTTTTCGCTGTCTAGCCACCAATATCGCAAACACTCGTTACAGTCATGAAGCCACACTCAATGTTATGGGTACGTACACAAGGCTTGTGATAGATAGACAGATAGACAGACAGAGTGGATTTTGGCGAAAGGAATAATGCAATGATGCTTGTGAAAGTATACCTGTTGGTTCTTACTTTGACACTCAAACAATAATTATGCAAATGAATTATTAACTTCAAGAAAAAGCACAGATTTTTTCTATTAGTCTTTTTTTTCTGACATATTATCTACTGATATTTTTTTACTCATTGGCTGATCAGAAAATCCAGGCATTCAGGTTTTGTTAATGATTTTCCCATATGTTTGTTTATTGTGCTAACTAATAAAATAAGGTGGAGCTCCTAGAATCTATAAGGAGCCAGTCATCCTTTCTGGGCCCCAGAATCTTACCATCACTGTCCATCAGACTGCCATTTTGGAGTGCATCGCCACAGGAAACCCTCAACCCATTGTTTCTTGGAGCAGGCTAGGTACCTCAGGATTTCTCAGAAAGAATTTATAAGAAGGAATTCTGCTAAGTAACACATTTCTTTAATATAGTTTCACACAGCATTTCTTTCGCTCTGTGTGTTTATATCTGTCAGATGGACGTTCTATTGGAGTGGAGGGTATACAGGTCCTTGGGACAGGCAACCTGATGATCTCAGATGTGACCCTGCAACACTCTGGTGTTTATGTGTGTGCTGCCAATCGACCTGGTACCAGAATGAGACGCACAGCACTGGGACACCTGGTGGTACAAGGTGAGACCCCCATGAAGATGTTGGAACCAGAATTCCATGGGGCCCTAAGCGAAATTTGGTTTCGGGGACCTCTATTTCTGCTAACAATGTGTTCCAGCTGGAATCAATAGTTAGAATATTAGATCACTGTACACCTGCTATAAACTTATTGCATCTCTGATAGTGCTGTTTACATTATATCCTATGCATATATAATATAGGATACAATTGCCAACCAGTTGATTTCTGGGTGCCGATTTCCTTCATTTTGGGGATCATAATTGGCCCATATTTACATGTGAACCCCATCTTATCCACTGATCTTATTTTTGTCAGCAAAGCTTTAAATATCAGCCTCTTTGATTTACGTTCAGACATGACCCACCAGGTCATGTCTGAACGTTTACAGTTAACAATATTGACCTCACTGTTGCCAGTTCAGCAACTTTCTTGCTGTTTTTAGCAACATTTCAGACAAAAAAAATTGGTATTGGCCCAAATCAAAATCGGCAGGTTAGGCTTTCTAAATATCGGTAACTGGGGCTAGCCAGAAAACTGCAATCAGTGCAGCCCTACACAAATATTAATGACATTCTTTGATTAAATTAATTTCTCTTAAGTGTAACTCCAATAGTTAAAAATTGAATTTACACCAGGTTGAGTTTTTCTCCTCTTAGAATGTAGACCGGTACCGGGTTGATTCTGAGCCTTCAAATGATTTTAACAGAAGTTTCACATACCTTATAAGTTGATGTAAAAATATTGTTTGTTTTAGCCACATAAATGATCAGCAGAAAACAACACATTACCAACTACAACTTAGAACTGCTCATTGATATATTAATGTAGTAGCCATGTAGCCTGGTGTAAAACTATTTGCTAGACAATGTCAAACATTGAGAAGTTTTAATTATTCTTATCAAACCTTATCAAACATGCTGTTTTGAAGCTAAAAAAAACCTGTGAAATATGCAGAGCCAAGCAGGAAAATCAACTAATTTAAGTTACTTAGTTGATTCTTTTTGCCCATAAAATAGATTTCTACATACATCATCAAATATATATTACTGTAAAAACAAATAACTTCATGAGGAAATTGTGTTTTTGTTATAATAATGACATAGAAGTTGTTCCAGAAAAACAAAAAAAATCAGCTCCACTGCGGGGGGCCCTGGGTGGCCCCTGGGGCCCAAAGCAGCTGCTTTGTTTGCTTTGCCTTGGGCCGGCCATACTGGAAACCAAATTGTTGTACCAGCGGCACAATGTGGCGTCAAACTTGTTGGGAATCAGAATTTGCATCAATGTTTGTCTCATGTAATTATTAATAATTGTAATTAATAATTTATTATTGATCAAGTTTTTTAGTTTAATCAGGGCACCAACTTCAGCAACTCTGGTGTCATAAGCCACACTCAGTCTCACCTAAAGGAATAAATTCAGACCATCGGCAAAAGAAACTCTTCACACAACAAGGAATGGTCATCGACACACTGATGTCTGATCAAGTCTGAGAATTTATGAAAAATATAGCCCAACTTTACAGTTTAAATGTTCAGTGAATAGCATTTTTCTTCAACTATTGGCATACAATCTAGCTACTAATGAATAGACAGTAATAAATATATATTTTGAATATTAAAATGAGAATCAAATCAGATTAATAGTTTGATTCATTAATCATCAGATTAATATTTCACAAAATATTCCACTTTGTGAAATGAAATATTCTATTCCATTTCAAAAAATTAAATGGAATATTGAAAAATGTTGAAAAATAACTTCAAAACTAATTAACAAAGGGAAAAGTCAGCACCACAATGTTGTAGAACAGAGTAACCTCCTCCTTCTGCCAAAGGAAGGTCAAACCAAAATGGCAGGAGGTTAGGTCACTGTACAAACTTTTTTTCAAAGTTGGTCCACCACTTTGAAACAAAGTTGTAAAATTCAACCCTGTGCTCAGGCTCGCCTTCAAAAGAAATCTGGGTTCAAGCTCTGTACAACCGTAAAATAGATATGAACTGGAAATCAAGGAAAGAAGAGAAGAGGAAAACACAAGAGGAAATGGAGAAGAGATTTGCTGAGACAGAGCCGATAAATTTGAGCAGCACACAATTCAATTGTTCTGGAACCTGACAATCTCCAACATGTGGCAGACTTAAAATGCCAGAGCAATACAATATAACATACAAATAGTATGCGACACTATCTTGCAACAGAAAAGCAATTTCCAATAGTCTTAGTCGGGTCAAAGCAATGTCCAAAAATCCAACAATTGATGAACAACAAAAAAGCTCATTCTATCCAGGCAGATGTGAGAGCTGGCATCCCAGATGAAGTTTCTCAGCATAACCCACTTTAGATTGGAAAAAACTGAGGAACCTTCTCATCAAGGAATGAAGAGGTTGCCACAGCAGGCCTCTGCAGGTAGACTTGCGCCTGTGGGGTACATTTCTGCATACCGCATGAAATAAAGAAACGTGGGGTGTACAAAACTATTTTTAGAAGTTCTCCTAAAAACACTTTGAAGGTTTTGAGACAAATCTTCTTCCTGGCTAGCAGGTTAGAAGAAAAAGGTTCAGAGCTCTTGTGTTTCAGTTGGAGGTTGACTCCAAAGACAAGGCTTTGGGATTCAGGTCTTACTTTTGTAGTGGGGATCAGTTCTTATCTGATCAGCTCTGAGTTTTATTCCAGTGACAGATTTTTGGCAGTGATATCTTCAGTCCAAAATGAAGTTGAATGTGATGTCTCCTTCACAAGGAATGCTAACTGGGTCATCCAGTGTGGAGAGTACTGAATAATTACTGCTGTGAATAATTGTGAATAATTACTGCTGTACTCTCCACATTGTCTATTTTAAATTCTTCCAAAGAATATATGTAAAAAAAAAAAATTCCCTTCTCACCCACCGCGGGTGGTTCTTATCCTCTGAGCTCGGGTCCTCTACCAGAGGCCTGGACCCTATATATATATATATATATATATATATATATATATATATATATATATTATATATATATATATATATATATATATGTTCCCTTCTCACCCACCGCGGGTGGTTCTTATCCTCTGAGCTCGGGTCCTCTACCAGAGGCCTGGGAGCTTGAGGGTCCTGCAGTATCTTGGCTGTGCCAAGGACTGCACATTTCTGGACTGAGATGTCTGATGTTGTTCCTGGGATCTGTTGTAGCCACTGCTCCAGTTTGGGGGTTACTGCCCTGAGGGCCCCGATGACCACAGGCACCACTGTGGTCTTCACCTTCCAGGCCCTCTCCAGTTCCTCCCTGAGTCCCTGGTATTTCTCTAGTTTCTCGTGCTCCTTTTTCCTGATGTTGCAATCACTTGGTATTGCTACATCTACCACAACAGCTTTCCTCTGATGTTTATCCACTACAACAATGCCTGGTTGGTTTGCCATTACCATTTTGTCTGTCTGGATCTGGAAGTCCCACAGGATCTTAGCTCTGGCGTTCTCCACCACCTTTGGGGGTGTTTCCCACTTTGATCTCGGGGTTTCCAGTCCATATTCTGCACAGATGTTTCTGTACACTATGCCTGCCACTTGGTTATGTCGCTCCATGTACGCTTTCCCTGCCAGTATCTTGCACCCTGCTGTGATGTGCTGGACTGTCTCAGGGGCCTCCTTGCACAACCTACACCTTGGGTCTTGTCTGGTGTGGTAGATCTGGGCCTCTATTGCTCTGGTGTTTAGGGCCTGTTCCTGGGTGGCCAGGATGAAGGCCTCTGTGCTTTGGCCTGAGAAGTCAGCTCAATGCCGATAAAAAGAACAAAATCCGTGCGATAAACAGCTATGCCCTGCCAGTAATCAGATACCCTGCTGGAATAATTAGCTGGCCAAAGGAGGAGATAAAAGCCACAGATATTAAGACTAGAAAACTACTAACAATGCATGGAGGGTTCCACCCCAAAACCGTTGCGGTAGTTGTAGCAATACCAAGCGATTGCAACATCAGGAAACTATACTATAATAAATATTCTGCTTTGACCACAGCTTGGAGGTTCTAACTACATGTTCAATCTCTTTTCATTGAACTTATTTGATTCTGTTTGTGACATACGCTGCAGTTTGAGACTAAAATGTGCATATACTAAAATTTGCAACATAAACCATTCTCCCATTGAGGGAGAATGGTTTATGTTGCAAACTTCACCATAGTATGAGTTTTTATTCAGTCACTGAGTGGATTTTCAGTCACGGGCCAGAGGAAGAGCCAAACAACAGATGGACAGAAGAAAAGGAGGCCAATATATAGATGTTCAAAGCAAGGCACAGCTGGGGGTGGCTGGGAGAAAAAAATATGGATTAAATTGACCTGCAACCTCTGACCCTTGACCCTGAGTGAGGAATCATGCAGGAAGGGAGGAGGTTGTGCAGTCATAACAGCTAGATAGAAAATTAGTAGGACAACGAACCTCTGGTGTACAACAGAAAGATGGATCACATCCCAGTGGTGAAATAAGGAAAGCTGAGCTTGCATCACTAGGATAGAGTTTACTATTTTTATCTACTTATCAATGTCTTATCATTATGCTTTGCCACTTTGTGCATTATATGCTTCATACACGCTACGGTACTGCAAACAAATCAGGTACCCTGACACAGAAGGATCAATTACAACACACTTTACAGGTGAAACAAGTTACTTTGTGTATTCAATATATTTACATTTTTCAAGAGTACATTGCCAATATACTATCACAGAATTGTACAAATTGTCAATAAATTAAAACTTTACAGACAACATGTGAAATTAGCACAATAGAAAAAGCAGGTATACATTAAAGGAAATGTGAAACATGTTTCACCAAGAACAGAGTATTGTTTTAATACAATGTTACAGTATACAAGTTTTACTCCAAAGAAATTAACTTTATTGAGTTAATGTTTTTACTCAATAGACACAGACACCTAAAATAAACATAAAGAATACTCAAATCCTCACAGTATAACCCATAACCTTTATGGTTGCTTTTAATTGGTCCCAACATGCAGCTCCATGATGTTGTATTTCCTTTTCGTTTTTGTGTTCCCCATCGTAGTTACTTGTGGTTGGGTCCTTCTGTCATGTTTTGTGGTAGTAGGTGGTGAGGAATACGCTGTAGACCCAGGTTGAAATAAAAAAGAAGTATATTTTGAAAAAAATATACTTTTAGAAAGTGTACTAAAAAACTAGTATGAGAAGCATGTTTTTAAAAATGTATTTTACATTTTTAAACATAATTACAATCTTTATTGTCATGCAATAAGTTACATAGATTATTACGAAATTGGTGAAAATAGTACTGCAGGATATTTACTGCCCTTATGGTTGCCGGGTATAATCTGTTCTTCAGTCTGTTTGTCTTTGCTTTATTGTTCCTGTTTCTGGAGCCAGATGGTAGCAGCTGGAACAAACTGTGACCAGGGTTTGAGGAGTCTTTTAAAATATTCTTGGCTTTCCTGATATCCATAAGAAGTACATCCACCTGATAGCATACTAAAATTGTATTTTAAAAAACTCCAACATATTTAAATTATACTTAAATTTATTATTTTTTCACCAGGTAACAGTGCTATGGATATAGAAAAGAGGTTTAGTCTGTTTCATGTACTCAGTGTACAGAAGATTTTGGACCGCATTTGTAACATTTGTCCAACACAATGAACAAAAATTGGGTTGCATTAGTATGAACATAATTTTGTTGTTTATCCAGGCTGCATTATGGGACTGGGAATGATTGAGCAAAAACTCCCCTGGATTTTTGGAGACAGAGTTCTCAAACTGTTTTTATGTAACTTGTTATATTGGGCTATATAAGACACCTACAAGTATTTACTAGAAATGGTACTGATTGAAAGAACCAACCGGTAGAAGACATTTTCAGTTAATTCTGTTTGTAATATTTGCAGGGTGCTCTCAGAAACACACAGAGAAGCTGAGGTCTCTGAGTCAAGGATGTTGTGGCAGCCAAGCACTCGTTGTATTTATGTATGCTACTGTTTGGACAATTCTTTTGTCACTAGACATTTAGTTATTTCCTATGTCTCTTTGACATACCTGCCATATTTTGACTGTATACTTCCAGTTTCATCAGAGATGACACAGCTGATGACACAGCTAATAACAGAAAAATTGCAAAGACTATCAACTGTCCAAAACCAAAGACCATGGGCTGTAGCACTTTAGCTTAAATAAATACAAATAAAACCACTGTCAAACTTGAGTGTGTAAGGACTTATTTCCTTTATGCTCTGTCTACTCATATCTGAAATATGAGTAGACAGATTTATAGTTCCAACATAAGCACCAAACTCACATATTTAGCGTTTTATTCAGGCTTCATATTTTCCTCTGATTCTTTTGCTTGAATTCTCTTATCACTATTTAGAATTTACAAACACTGCAAGCAAAAGAAGAGATTCAACAGTAAGGTGACTGGCCTACTTATAAAATTCACAAACCCAACACATTTAGTACCATTACTCTTTATAGTTAGTCAACTAATAAATGCCACCTCACTGACATAGCACTGATATTTGCTTCCTTTTTATTGTCCGCATCTGGTGAAAGCTGTCTGCCTTTCTCTCCACTATTCCTCTTAAGCTCCACCTGAGTTCCTGCAATGGCCACAGTCAGTGTCCAGACCAGCAGGAGGCAGTGCTGTATTCACCTGTGTTGCTCAGGGTGTCCCTGATCCCCACCTAATTTGGCTGAAGAATGGTAAAGTCTTGATGCCTGGACAAACTGTCAAGCTGACAAATAACAACAGGTAAGGAGATGGTGGCTGATGTGTGTCCCTTATTTATAGTTTTATTCAGGTTTTAGTAGAGAACTGATGCAATCTTTGCATTGCATCAGTTCTCAACCAAGAGGCAATTCCAGCATTCAAAGACCTGGCAAAATCAAATAGAAAAAGCATTTTCACAATAACAACAGCAAATTATTAGACAGTGTCACAACATTATCTGAGGAAAAGAAGAAATATCGTTTTTTTTAATCCCATGACATAAGTTTCTATGAGTTGAAAGAAATTTGTGAAGATTAATGGACTACACTACTTTTGAACAACTGCCTGTTTCAGTTTTTTGTTATTCTTTTCTTATGCATACATAAGTGCAATGAGATACATTCTGTTTTGACTCATAAAAGATTCAGCCAACATCTTCGATATCAGTGCTATTATTTATTAAGGCTTCTGAAATGAAAAAAAGAGCCAAAAACTCCATCTAACCAAAAAAAATTCCCTTCTCACCCACCGCGGGTGGTTCTTATCCTCTGAGCTCGGGTCCTCTACCAGAGGCCTGGGAGCTTGAGGATCCTGCGCAGTGCCAAGGACTGCACATTTCTGGACTGAGATGTCTGGTGTATATATATATATATATATATATATATATATATATATAGATATATCTATATATATATATATATATATATATATATCTATATATATATATATATATCTATATATATATATAGAGAGAGAGAGATATATATATATATATATACATATATATATCTATCTATATATATATATATATATATATATATAGAGAGAGATAGATAGATATATATATATATATATATATATATATATATATCTATATCTATATATATATATATATATATAGATATATATATATATAGATATATATATATATATACAAGTACATAATGCATAGTACAGCATTGTGTACAGAAATAAATGCATGTATGTTGTTTTGCAGTACTTTAGCTCTGACCCTCATCAGCTCAGATGATGAGGCTATCTACCAGTGCATCGCAGAGAATAGTGCTGGTACTAACCAGGCAAGTGCCCGTCTAGCTGTGGCCCAAGCTAAAAGTCTGCCTGCTGCCCCCCAAGGCCTCATGGCAAGTGCTTTGTCCATCAACACCTTGCAAATGACATGGAATAATCCGTCCATTGGCATCGCTGATAGCATCATTGGATATGTCTTACACATCCGCAAACTGGGCGGTGAGTGCAATCTCAAAATTTGTGAAGCATAAGTCTAAATAGGAGCATGTTTCCAAATCTGCAACTTTATCATTTTCATTTAGAGCCTGATTACATGGAGCTGCAGGAGACCATAAGTAAGGATACTTTTCAGCATGATGTAACCAACCTGGAATCTAGCACAACCTACTCTCTCTATCTGAAAGCCTACTCTTCCTTGGGGGCAAGCCAGCAGTCCAACACTGTGATTGAAACAACACTTGGGAGTGGTAAGAACATGGAGCCTTGATGAAGTCATATTGTAAGTCATATTGATTGTACACCTTTCAAAAAAGTCTGCTCTATCTACTTTAAAAAAATAATTCATCTATTTGCATAATTTATCATTGTTGATGAAGAAAAACTGTTATAGTACTTACTTATTTCTTTACATGAGACATAAAATCCAGGTGAAGTGAATACAATTAGTTACGTAGATAAAACAAAACTAAACTTTGTTAAATAAAATTTGCAAGTGTACTATAAAATCTAATTAGTTCACTTCACCTAAAAAATTTTTGCTAAATCATTGCCTAAGAAATATTATGTTTTAAAAATATAATACTTGATTGAAACAGTTCTGGGCTCCTGCCTGCTTTTTATTTGTTTCTCTGCTCAATCTGTGACAGAAAACATAAAAAGCACTAATAGTCCAGAGTCTATGCTATGAAATAAGCATACAACTCATGGTGCAGTTTAATTGTAAATGCATGAAACTACCCAATAAGCACTCCACTGCTCTGAAAGTAGACTGCATAGTAGAAGGTTTGGAGTCTACGGTTTCACCTTAAACATCTTAAAACAAATATTTGTGACAAATGAAAAAGTTGTTTAATCAGTTCCTGCTGATGGTTGCACTATGCATTTGTGATACCTTAATGGCCAATCACAACTGCCACATATAGAAAAAAATAATGCAAGATTTGAAAACATGAACTCATGTTATGCAACATAGAATAACTTGATAAGTTTTTGTTTGTGTTGCTAATAACACAAAATGAGCTGAAGTTAACTATCTCATTGCAAAAGAAATGTACCACGTACTGTTCTTTGTGTAACTTCAAATGTCGAACAAAGTTGGAAGTTGTTGCAACTCTATCTAATATCGTCGTCTTGCAGGTTTTGCATGTTGCATGTCGTTTTTGTTGCATACTACATAATTGATGTACCCAAAAGAAATTACTCGTGGGAGTGCATCTACTTTGAGCATTTTACCTACCCCACCGACAAAGTGGTTTTATTCATTTTAAATTTTGTTAATTTGATGGGTTGTGCTGCAGCTTACACACAGAGTGTGGAAAAACACAGGGACGGTCTGTTAATGATTAATGAGTGAAATGAAGTAATGGGGCCCATTTCATATGTGTTTTAAGCTTTTGGGTAAAATATCAAGTCTTTTCAAGTAAATGGGTTCAAGTCCCACGTTATTGGTGTCAAAGTTCAAGTCTCTGAAATTTTTTTAAAGTCAAGTCTGAAGTCTTAATATTAATGACTTGAGTCGGACTCCAAGTCATGTGACTAAAGTCCCTACCTCTGGTCATCAGGGCATTGGTTTTTCAACATAAAAATCAGTTATACAAATGTTCAAAACTTTTTCTTCAGTTTGCAGGTTTGCTTGAGCAGAAATGGAGTAACATTGGAGATTTCCTGAATGTTAAGCATTCATTTTTGAGTAGATAGAGCAGATTTTTATCTGAGGATGGATAAAATGCTGTAAAATGTATTTATTTGAGAGAAGTTTATGAAATGAACAGCTTTAATGTTTCTTTAATGTTGAGAGAGATTTCCCTTGATGCCATAATTAGATTGATTATTAAGAAATGATTGTGTTTGTCTGGTGCTCATGTTGTTTCATCTTAACCTATTTGAAGGCACCATATTTTATTTTAATATGGATAGGCCATATTAACGCTAAAATATGTATGTCCTGACAATACACAGACCAATGCATTTCCATGATATAGGAAAGCAGCCTTCTGGCCATACAGTCATACTGATAAAAGAAACTGAAGTAGTTTCTTTTAGAAGTCTGACCTTTATGAAAGTATTTGTCAAAAAATGTTAATATTCATCAAAACTAGTTTTTGATCAGTAATACAGTATGCTTTATCAGGCCCAGATTCAAACCTGTGACAGCTGCATCAAGAACTAAGTACCTGTACATGTGTTGTGCTTTACCTCTGCTTTGGAATTTTAGTAAATTCCAACTTATTAAAAATATTCACTTTTGATCAATTTGATAAAACCTCTCAATATTCTATTAACACAATTTTCCACTTACAGAGTTGGCACAGATGACCAAAGATAAATCTGTAGGTATTTTTCTCAAATGACTGAAGAAGACACCAAGAACAGTACAACTTTATATAGAACTATGGACACTAACTTTTATTTTAAAATAATACAAATTAACCCTGTGCTATACTGTCCAGAATATATCCATTCCATTCCACCTTAAAAAAATCTATTTAAAAATAAGACAGTGGACCAAAGTGTGTTATAACCTGAAATTAAATTACGAACAACAAAATACAAATAGAATGTAAGTAAGAGCCAATCCTTCAAGCTGAGTGAAAAGCCAGTGAGAAAAAATAAGCTTGAGAGAAGACTTAAAAAAGACAGACACTCAGGCACACTGTGTACACACTGCGACCTGAAGTGACCCAATTCCAATTTTTTTGACGTATCTGATATTCTCATGACAGCCTAAACAACACAGGTTGGATTCTTTTTGAATGCGATCCAGGCCACTTAAGTATCCAATACCTATATTCAAGTGGCGTATTGGATACGTATTGTGACCTAACATCCAGGTTGCATTTATCCTACCTGAACATCATTCATACTTGACAAATGTATTCTGCATCCTGATGCACACAAAGTGGGAAGAAAAACATCAACCATGACAGACTACAACGAGGATTAATTTAATATGCAGCTCCGATCGGACAACTTCAAATGTGTAAGATATGCTCCACCGTTAGCATCCATGTTCACTTCCAAAAACACTGAGGACTCCTTGTTTTTATGACAGATGGGAAAACACTGAGAACCCTGATGTTATTGTGTTCTCTACTGCGCATGCGGGACACTTTCAGGTCAGTCGTTTGCCTGTTCACACCGGAGATCACATACAAGTCGCATGTATTTCGAAGTGTGAACGGCCACACCAAAACAATCCGATTTGACAAAAAATTGTAATTGGGTCACTTCAGGCTGCAGTGTGAATGGAGTCTGAGTCTCTCTGATAGGTAAAGTTAAATCATTCCACAATTTTCAGGCAGGAAGTGAGATTTTCAACTAATTAGATTCTTCTTTTTAATACTTTTATCTATTGCCATTTAAAAAATGTTAGAGATAGGATCTGTTTGATAAACAAGATATAAATAAAAAATAAAAGATAAATATAAATAATAATATTTAGTTTATAAATATGTCTTTTAAGGCTTGTGTTCATTTTAAAATCTGAATATATTTGTATGCTTTTTCCACTGTTGCAACAAACATGTTATCAAGGAAATGTTGTGATTTTGGTTCATCTTAAACTTTCAAATGCTGTTCTGTTTACTTCCATTTCACCTTGATCCAGTCCCAAACCCACCCATCTGCTTTACCAAGGTTCTTAACTTCACCACTGTGCAAGTACTCTGGGAGCTACCTGCTAAGCCGGGCAAAACTGAGGGCTTCAAATTGACATTTCGCAGAATCCCCCTCACTGACTACCATGGGCCAATTCAACTGCCTTTTCATGCCAGTGCTCACACCTTATCAAACCTTGGTAAGACTTTGTGACGATATGTATTCTTACTTTTTGTGTGTGTTTAAGGATAGGAGCTTGTCCTTTGCAGCATCTGTTGCTGCAAAGACAGTATTGTTAAGGAGCAACAGTCAAATTTAAAACTGTCACCCCCTCCTTTTGAGAGGTTGCATGAGGAATGCAGTGTGTACTTTTCATTCCAGGATCAACAGTATTACTGCTTTGTGTGCATAGGACGACTTGCAATCAGAGTAGTACAACGTGTAACTTTTGAAACAGTAGAGATAGCTACAATATTAAGAAGTATTTTGTGAAAGCAGACTTTTGAAATATTCATGTCAGATAAAAAAGCATCTTGATCTTCTTGAGGATTTTATATTTAAAGTGTCAGCAGATTTATACATCAGCATGTCACATTTTAGCACCCACTACACTGTAAATGCAACATTTTATTTCATTGAAATTAGCAAGTTTTCATCAAAGTACTATCAAAACTCACTTTTTAGTAAGTACTTGAAAGTGGTAGTTGACAAGTCTCTCCAACTCACTTTACTTGAGCTGAATTGATTTAGAAAAAGTAAGTTTATAATAATTGTACTTTTTTTTCCAAGCTCAATACTGCATGCAAGAATAAATGTTTTACTTGAGGTTTTTTTTTCTTTTCTGGAGCCACTAATTTACCTCATCTGACTCATGAAAACAAGACAGTCTGAGTGTCTCCATGAACAGGAGCACATTCACAAAGCAGAACATCAGAACAAGTATCCATGTATCATTCTATCTGAAGCTAGGCCATATTAAACTAACATAGTGTGTTTTATTTTAAGGACACCTGCTTCGCTGCTGCACAGGTATAAACCCAGCAAGAGCGTCCTAGCGCTCATGTTGCGTATAAATGTGGCTCGGAAAAACAGCTTACGACATGTCAACTGATTAAACCGTTATAACTGCTGAAAAAGGTGACACAAGGCACAAATATGGGAAGTGAGGAGGTCTCTACTGTATCAAATCGACATAGGAATAGAAGAGATTTAACCACTTTAAGGTGAAAAAAAAAAAACAGCAAACAGCTTCCAGTCCAGGAGGGGAGGCGGGTGAACAGCTGACTTTGTGGGTGGGCAATGCCCGCGAATGCCACCACGCCTGCCAAGTGAGAACCTTGGAATTGTGTTTCTGGTATTCCTGTAAATCTGATGCACAAGCAACACCTGCAAATGGCAGTGATGGTCAAGAGTGGACCAAAGTAGTGAGTAGCATTCTTTTCATCAAAGTCTTGTAAAAATAACAAATGAAACTTCTTTCATCATCAGTGAGCACTGATTAAAAACACATAACCAGCTCTTTGAAAACGCCTTGTGTTACACGTACCAGGACTGGTGTCAGTGTTGATTTTTCCTCTAAACAGGATAGAACAGATAGGAGTAGCGAAGCAGCAGCAAATGCCTCTTGAACAAATCCTCCTGGAATCTGTTCTGAGGCCGTTCTCTGGAGCACACTGACTCCCACTGGTAGTTTTCTGCTACTGCAATAACATTAATTAAAATGGACTCTCGAAATTAGAAATATACACAAAAACACATATCAATTAATTCAATAGCAAATTATAAAAATAAAATAATAGTAATCATATAACAGAAACCATTACTTTTTGTGTATGCGACACTTGCTGTAAATTATGTATCCAACAAAATCTCAATCAGTCCATTTATTTTGATAACCTTTAAATGTAAAAAATAGATTTTTTTTTTTAGATTTGTTTGAAGTACTTGGAGAACCATAAGGCAGGCCCACTGTAAAATATCATTTTTACAGTGTTCATCTTACTTTAAAAGAAATGCAAACTCATTCCCTTACAAAATAAGCAATGTAAGTTCAAGATTAAGAAAACCTTATTTAGTTTAACTAAGTAGTACTATGTCAAGTAGTATAACTAATGAAAAAAGTACCTACCTAGAACTCACTACTTACTAATTTTTCAAGTTATTATGTATTATTTGAAATGCATAATATACACAAAAATATTTTTTCTCATTCTCATCCATTTCTTGTCATTTGCAGGTGTTGCTTATGTGTCAGATTTACAGACAATACCAGAAACACAATTCGAAGGATCTAGCTTGAGAGTTTTGCATGTAAAAACAATGCAATTAACTGTGTTAATGATCTGGGGGTGAGGGGAGGAAGCAGCACAAATTGTTATTGTTGGCAACTAAAGTTAGCATACTGCTACCAGCCTAGCTTAAGCTAAAATGGTACATGGAGATATATTACATAAATGCACTCCTGTTCATGGAAACGTCAGGACTGGTCTCTTTTCAAAAGTCAGATGAGATAAATTACTGGTGCCAGAAAAGAAAAGAAAAACTCAAGTAAAGAATTTGTACTTGTATTGGAATTAAGCACAATTATCAAAAACATATTTGTTCTATATTAATCCAACTCAAATTCAAAGTAACTTACTAAAAGTGAGTTTTGACAGCAATTTCATGAAAACTGATGTAAGTTAACTTATTACTTTCAATTAAATACCAATGAGGGAAATTTTCTGCCATAATCCAAGAGCATACATGTTCGGTCTGAAAGCAAGATTGAATTTCTTTTGTTCTTAAAACTTTTAATTCTTTTGTTTACATTTACATTTTGAAAGCAGGACTTTAAATCTTTTTTCTATCATAATTAGTAAAATGAACAAAATCCTGCTTAAGATCAGTAGCTGTTTGGAATCAGTAGCACAGAAAGAATGGACACCTCATGAATCACTTTGGGAGCAGTCGACCACTCCACTCAGATCCCTCTGTATTATTATTTTTTTATAAATAGACCCTTTATTATATGTATCTGAATCTATCTGGCACTTTTTGTTAAGAACATTGTATAAATAAAAAATTACACATTGTCTTATTTTACTAATTTTTTAGAGTTTTGCAAGCAAAAATTTACTCTTTGCAGAGACTCCATGTGAGCGCAAGAAGTTTTGAGTGCAATCATTACATGTTTTGAGAAGAAACACATGAAATGCTGCTTTCAAAATATAAATGTAACGAAGCGAAAGTATTAAAAGTTTGGAGAAAAAGACATGAAATCTTGCTTTCAGACTCAACATGTCTGTCCTTAGATCATAGCAAAAAAGAATAATCCTCCATAAATGCCATGTTTACATTTACAGTGTAGGAAGGAACCAAGCAATTTAGAGGTAGATTCAGAGAAAATCTGCCTATAATCAACAAGAAATGCACTTTAATAACAAGACGGTGATCTGCTTGCATATGCATAGATGAAAACCTACACAATTGAAGAAAAATATGAAACGGAATGACATGAAAATGTAAAATAGTAAAATATTGGTAAGAATTACCGAAACTATGGAAACAAAACTAAAATCGGATCACAATAGTGAACACAACAGAAACCAATAAAAGTAGGATATTAACAAAATACTGGCATATAGGACATGGAATTAATTTAGATTAATTAAAAATGCATTAATGCAAAGTAACATCTTCCATTTCATTAATAGAATCACTCACTGTTAAGGAACTCCATCTGACCCTCTGCCTTCCAGAATCTAGAGCTGTGTATGAAATTAAACTGGTGGCCTACAATGGAAACGGAGAGAGTGATTCCTCCAAGAGGCTGGTGTCACTAGCAGGGCAAGGCATAAGTGACCAAATCAATGGTGAGTGTTCAACGCAAGAATACATCCCCTTTTAATACCATTTTTACCAGATTTATCAATCAAGATATAAAATACATCTGTTCTCTTTTATTTGTAATTGCAAAAGGTGGAAACAGGTTATGTCAGTGCAGGGATGCTGAAGCTTCTCTGGGCAGCGTCGTCATTGGGATTCATATTGGCACGGCCTCCATAATCTTTTGTGTCCTCTTTCTTATATTTGGATACCGTTGCAGGTAAGAGCCAACAAGCATGGCATCCTTTCGCTATTATGTAGCAGCTATTATACTGTGTATAATTCAAACCCTTCGTTTTTGTAATAACTTGTATTTTCAGAATCTGTCATAATGTGTGTTTGAAATTGGACCAAAATACAAGCAGGAATCCAGGAGGTAAATGATGAAAAATTACAAAAGCAACTTTAAAAAAAAAACATGGAGGAACACACAGGAGGCCATGAACATTAGTCAAATGGAAGCAGCCAGTGATGAGAGAGCCTGATTCGTAGAACAATGTGTTGCACATTTAATGATTAGTCAGTGTGATTTTCTCAGGTTCTTTTATTCGGTAAACACTGTTAACAAACAAGAGCGACAGTGAGCGCCTCCGCTGACCAGCCGTCACTGCACTAAATTTCCGTTGGCTCACTGAGTCAAAGTGCTCACCGTGCTCAATGTGCCATCTGGTGGCGAACTGCTGTAACTGCAGTTTAATATATCAGTTGAGTGGGAGAAGTGCTGCTTAAGAGTACCGTCTACAGTCCTTAAATAAAGTACAAAAAAAAGGTGAGGGAGGAAAATTATTTCCCGTGTCCATTCTGTCACAAATGGACTATTACCAATTACAAACAAGGTGCAGCTATGTGGAGAAAGCAGAAGGCAGGCTGTGGGAGACGGAGAGAAATGGGAAAGAGAAGTAAACAAATTTGGGGGGAAGAGACAACATAAATCTATAAGGAATAAAGAAAATCTAAACACAGCACGTCAAAACATAAATACAAAACAACTAAGAAAAAAAATTTTAAAATAAAAGATAGAACAAAGATGAATCACAATAGAACAAAAAAAGTAGGAAAGTAAACAGAAAAAAAAGGCAAAACAATCTGGGGTCCTGACAGAATCAGAATAAACTTTCCTGGTCAAGTTTGTGTGCACAAATAAGGAATGTTACTTAAATTTATATTAAATATAATTTTTTTTTTTAAATATGTGGAGCATCGATTCTAATAGAAAAGCTAGGCACTCTGTTAAGTGATATGCAATGAGAAGAAGTTTTATTTATATGGTACTTTTTCAGCAACAAGGCAATTCGAAAGTGTTTTCAATAATTAGAAGAAATACAAAAACAACACAAGCACAATTAAAAAAAAACTACACTTTAAAATGTTCCAGTTGTTCTGGATTTCTAAGTAAATAGTATTTTTTAAGTTTGTTCTAGATTAGTAAAGTATAACGTAAATGTTGAAGATTTCCCCCAGAAAACTTAAGCCTGGTGGTTGGACCACTGAGGTGGTAAACTGGGGTTTTGTATTGCAGGAAATGTAAAATATTACTAGGTAATTACCTTACTAGAAGACATTGCCGACAATGCTTAAATTCACACCTATAGCATCTCAAAAACAGCAAATAAAAAAGTACAATTAAAATAAGTATCAATTACTTCTGTTAAATCTAAATTAAATTAAGCTATCAGTTAGTGGATCTAAAAACTGTAATGCTGATCATATTTAGGCATAAATGACCTAAGAGATTATCAGTGCTGTTAAATTTGATTTAATGTTTTCAGCAGAGATAAATCAAAATATTTTAAATTGTTTAACATTTAAATGTAAGATTTTAAGGAGCTGGCAAGTTTACTTTGTAAAAGTTCAATCTTTAGATTGTTTTGTTACCTTGGCTACAACCTGATTCTGTCAGTTTAATCTTTGAGTTTTAGGCCCCAGGGCCTGCGTAGCTGTGGGGCCCTAAGCGGCTGCTTAGTTTGCTTATGCCTTGGGGCAACGCTGGATATGTGTGTATATTCAATAAGCATTCAAGTTTGTACAGGTTGGAGTTGAAAAATATTCAAAAACTGGTGATGTCGCCAAAACTAAAACCTGCCTAATAATTGTGCACACAATGTATTGCTCACTGATATGGACAAGGTTACACTAAAAATTATTTCCTCACTTATGGTTATTTGTCCACATTTCTTTTATTATTCACAACCTGTTCTGCAGTGAAGGAATGCAGGTCAATTGGCCCATACCAAGATTCCATGCAGGACAGAACAACATCCCTAAAGGGGGAACTCACTACCCCCAGATGGAGTCTGAAGCTCAGGTGATTTCTTTAAACTTTCAGAGAGAATACATATTATGTTAAGATTGTCCACATTGCATGTCAAAGTATTTATTCTGATGTTGTCTTTTAAACTAAGGCCCCTAAATAGTAGCAAACGTTTTAGAAAGCATTACAGTTCACTTGCAGTTGTGAGCCAAGCATAAACAGAAAAGTGCAAGAGTTTAAAGTCATGAAAACAGGAACTACACTTTTGTATTGGCAGTTAATTTCAAAAATACCAAAAAGAATATTGTCAGGTGAAAATAACACAAAACTATAACATATTTAGTGTAACAAAGTACACAGTAAAACATTTTTAAGAATGCCCCTTTACACAGTAACATGCAGATTTTTGGCTCTGTGTGGTTAAGCTTGTTGTACAGAGACACCAGAGCAGGATTTTCCCAAATTACCATTCACTAGCAAGGACCACACCACAAAGATATACATCTAAAGATTTATTGATGAAGGGATGTATAGATGAAAGGATAAGGGTTGAAGGGATGAATGATCTTGATTTGGTTTTCTGGGGAGAATGATGGAGGGTTAGGGAGGTGAAAACTCTGCATGGGGGTTTGGTCTATGGTAAACAGATCTTCTTACTCTCCCAAGCCTGCAAAGGACCCCCAGACAAAACCTGCAGCACAAAGAAGCGAAACATGGTTTTGAATAAAAGAGAATTAAATGAAAGAGGTAATGGGAAAGGAAGGGTGGGATTGATGAAATGTAACAGACTGAGTGGGTGAGCAGAGTGTAAATAGGCCGTCTGGAAAATTTAAGGTGTGGTTTGGGCGTGGCCCTGCTCCTGAACTTAAGTTAACACGTTAACTCTATTTAATCCCTGAACTGCTACAGAGACAAACTAATGGCTGAAATTTCTAAATGCAACATCAACCATTCTCCAAGAAATTTAAATAAATGACATTTTTAAATGGGGTTCAGTATCAGTGCTTAGAATCTTAACTATAGCGATCAGACATTACATTAGAATAATTCTGTAGAAAAACAGAATGAAGGCTATTGGCCTGCCAGGATAAGGCTCCCAACTGGACAGAATACAATTTCTTAAAAAAAACAAAAATAATTTTGCCACTGTTTTCTCAGCTGATTAACATCATTGCCTAAAATTGTATGCTTAGGCTACAGGTTGAAAATAACCTGCAGCCTAAGCAGGTTATTAGGCTACAGGTTACTAACATGCCTAATAGCAGGTTATTATTAACCCGCGTTAATAATAACGCTCATAATAACGCTATTATAAACCTGCTATTAAGCAGGTTAATCTGAGACACAGATTGGGCCTCAGTTAATGTGTGTCTCAGATTAACTGATTCACATCTGTCTCAGTTAATCAAATGTGAATCTCTCCATTCTGATGACATTATCCAAAAAAGAAAAACAATTAAATAGTAAAACGTCATTAGTTACAACAGCAATTTCAAATAATTTTCAGATCATATTTCTGTGGCAATTTGAGGACATCTATAGGAACTCCTGAAGTACTAATAGCATGTAGGAAAAGGGACTTTAACATTTTGGAAATTAATATAGCTTTGCAGTTATCCAGCTGAAATATCAAATGATCAGGTGAACTGTTATAACAAGCAGCCTTACACATGGAGTTTTGTGTAGTAAAACAGATGCTAATTGGTCCAGAATTCAGAAATATGGCAACAAGTCCCCTAGCATGTGAATATCTTTCATTTTCAGTGAGCTTATTTCATAAAACAGCTCCCTGGTGCAATAAATAATTGAAAACTGTTCTGTTATAGAGATCAACATAAGCAGATGTTTGTTTCAGAGTTGTCATTTATTGTTTTTAGTGTTTAACAAACAAAGATCTGAATTTAAGGGGCAGACATGTCTGATAGACATGTCATTGCTTTAGTTCTTGAATGGTTATATGACAAGTGAAATTCAGATAATTCCAGTTTATAACACTTTGTGCTCTCTTGACCTTTTGGTGTTGTGTCTCTCTATGTCAGCAGATGGTACGTCCTGCACGTTGCCAAGTCATAATCGAGCAGAATCCAACAGGTGTTTCTGGCATCGGAACTGGCTGACATCAGTCAATATTACCACTTCAACCTCACTCATTTTCTCTCTTACACTTCTTTCAAAGTCCAGTTGAAAATCACTATATTATCCAAACCCTTCGACTAGTTATGTGCTCATTTGTAGACAAGGATATATCCTGGTCATTCATAAGCCTGAAGCCAATCTCTTCCCCTACCTCTGACCAAAGCTTATTGCCTTTGTTGTTGTGTGGTTGCACATGAGCTTCTTTCTCTATTAATATGACTGTTTGCTGAGAAATTATTGTTTCTCCTGATAATGACTTATGACAGAATTAATTTTGTATTTACACCAGACATGTCACTTTTTCACTGGGAGTCTGCTTCATAACCAAAATATTCTATTCTACTAATCTTTGATGAAAAACTGACATGTCACAATTTGTACTACAGTTAAAAACCCCAAACTGAAACCAAATTTTATTATATGACTGAGATGATATGATGTATGTTGTGACAATTTTCCCTGTTAATCTAAAAGTAAGAGAAGCAGTGGCTTCTGGGAGCTTTTGTTGTGAGGTATGATTGATTAGAAAGTAGTCTCATCAGTTTAAAAGGCATTAAGTTAAAAAAAAAATCTCACAAGAAAAATGTTTCCTGATTTGTTTGACCCAAAAGTAGGGTTAGAAATATTTTCAGACTTTGTCCAAAGAAAATATAATTATGACACACTATATGTATCTCACCAATGCTAAGTCTGTTAGCTATCCTACCAAATAAAGCTAGTAATTAGCATTTTATTTTAACCAATGCCAGTTATGTGCCATGCCAGTCACTGACGTATCCTGTCCAGAGAGGACGAATACCATGGGAACCATATTGTACCTGTTGGAGTGTTTTCCGAAAAAGCCAAAAACCTTATTGCACCAGATGCTCACCTTTGCAACCTCTTGGATGCTAAATATTTACTTCAACTTGCCTTACTCTTTTTCTGCAAAAGGCATCAGAAGCTGTTCCATGTAATGGAAAACATGGATTACCAGTAGTGCTCTGAGACACTTTGGAAGCAACAATAGATTTCCATTAATGCTTTCATCTGGCAAATAATTTTTCCTGACATCACACAACCTACTTCAAACTTCTGAGACAGAGTGTGTACCTCAAGAAGCTTTAAGATGAAATCTTCCAGAATGCACGAACAAAGACTGTCACCAGAAAAGCCTTTCCAAAAAGAGCTATGGAAAGTTGAATTGTATCCAAAGATTTAAACATTATATTAGTTTTCTATTTAGCTTTCTCCAGTATATACATGCATTTTGCTTTCAGTTTTAGGTTGTTTATGTTTGATTGATGTCACATAATGTCCATATGATTGCTTTAACAGAAACTAAACCAAAAGATCTCTGAGTTTGATTTATCTACATTTTATTTCAAATGGAATATTTTCAAAACAGCTTTAAAGTTAGTCTAGTTATCAGACATAAAACTATTTTCTTGATTCAAGCATTTAACTTTTTTAAAAGTGACCAGATGTTAAGATATTGCATATTTCTAAAAACTTACTTTATAGCACACAAAGGAAAAAATATGTATAAAGTTGTTGAATTCTTGCCAACTATTTGTATGTTGTAAAGAAACTTGCAACCAAAAAAGTTTTTTATTCATTCAGAGCCTTTAGTTTGACACGTTCACCTAACCAAAGCACAGAACAATGAATGGGTCAAATGGATACCTCTGAAGGGCAGCAAATTGTAGAAGGTGTTTCAAAGAACACAGGTAGTTGGTGAGTTCAGCAGTTCCAAAAGAAAGAAAGACAGAAATAAAGAAAGGAAGAAATCTATCTATCTATCTATCTATCTATCTATCTATCTATCTATCTATCTATCTATCTATCTATCTATCTATCTATCTATCTATCTATCTATCTATCTATCTATCTATCTATCTATCTATCTATCTATCTATCTATCTATCTATCTATCTATCTATCTATCTCTCTATCTCTCTATCTCTCTATCTCTCTATCTCTCTATCTCTCTATCTCTCTATCTCTCTCTCTCTCTCTCTCTCTCTCTCTCTCTCTCTCTCTCTCTACCTTATCTCAAATGAGGACTCAGCCATACAGCCTTAATAAAACCTTAAGACCATCTTACCTTTTATGTCTGTCTGAGGTTAAGCATTAAATTAAAGGCCTTTTATCTGTTCACTTTTTGAATAACCGTTAAATCAATGTGAAACCAAAAAGCGAATTTATGAAGAAATGTAGCTTTTAAACTAGTGATTAAAATTAAAACATGTTGCTTGTTTATGAAAAGGTTATTTTCCATGTGCTCTTCATTTCCGCTGATCCTTCCATTTCCATAGTTGTGCACAGAATATCTTTGCACATATGTTTTCTTTCATTAATTTGTGACTTTCAGATTTTTTCTTGCAATTCTATATGTTTTGTTGTAAAATTTGCTTTAATAAGACATAGTGTTACATCACCTTTTTCTTAAGTTAAATTCACCTTTTTGTTATAAGGAACCAGAAAGGGGAAGAAAAAGAGTAACATATCTTAAAAAGTTAAATTGTAGAGAAGTAGAAAGTGGCGGGTGGTGTTAGTAGGAAATAAAGCTTTGATTCTACCGCTGCATGTTTTTGAACACTTACTCATATAAGTTTTGTTCATGAAAACTTTAAAATTGTAAATTTGTTCAGCCCAAATTCTTTTGTGGCCTATGACACAAAAGAATTTGAAAAGATACAAACACAGTTATAATTCAGACCAATTTCAATTACCGAATTTAATTTTTAGTAACATACAAAACTTTGAAAACTACTAAACTACCCTAAGCCCAAAGACAGAAAGAAGTAGGTCGTTTTCAGATTTGGACATTTCTTTAACTTTTAATTTGATCATCATGTTCACTTTGAATAGGAACCTCTGATAGCATATTTTTATGTGGAATTTAACTCAAAACACTGCATCCTAGAATATTGGTGGTCGAGTGACCACGTTTTAATTTACAATAAGAACTGGTTCATTCATTTTTTACATTCAATTATCAGATAAATACATCAAATCTTCCACATGGATTGTCTTCATAATGGTTTGTATAAAAACTCTGTAATTATTCAAGATCTCAAATTTCATTTGTTACACATTTTGAATATACTTAGTACATATTTACAAGAGTGTAGACTCTCAAAGAACTTGCCATTTTTCATTTTTGTTCATATATTTGTACACAGCATGTGCATTTAAAGAACCCTTATGACACGATGACCGTATGTTTCTTGTTTTTGTCTTCTTTTTTGCCCTGCAATGGTCAAATTTTAGCTCTTTAAAAGTGATTTTGGTACATAAATATTTTCAAGTAATTAAAAAATAAGTAAATAACACCTACTGAAGTCCCAGATGTATTGTAAAAATAAAGACAATATTTAATTTAAAACATCTAACCATTGCTTTATGCAACAATATATTTACATCTAAGATGTTTGGCTTTAATTTCGTAATCATAATGTATTTATGATCAATAAAATAAATTCAGAACCCGAGAGTACCCATAAGCACTGAATAAAAAATAAATACATAATAAAATATGCTAATATTGTTGAATAAAATTCAGTGGGGCAACATTTTCTCCAATGTTTGCATTTAAGAGCTCCTTGTGGTTAAATATCCTCCTTTTGAGTTTACACCGAAGCTGTTAAAAGAGGCAGATTTATTATTTTGAGGTTTATTGTAGGATTTTAAAAGAAGAAATAGACCCATATAGTTTTGGTCAAGAGGTATTAGAAAGTGATGTGTAAACATTTAATTCCTTCCATACTTGTTGGTCTCTGTATGAAAACATGCTGTATTTGGATGTCTGCTTTACCTTTTTGATTTTGTTCTGTGGAACAAAATCCAACATGCCTAAAACCAAATAAAGATATTTAGATTCATTAATATCTGTTTTTGATTTATTTGTTTGTTAAAGAATGTAAATGATTACCTCAACCAGGGAAACAGTGGCCCTTAAGTCTTACATGTGGAAGTGCAGAAAATATTTTTTTTAGATTTTCCTCAATAACACATTCCTAAATATTCTCCTGGTTTGTCATTGGGATGTCGATATGACTGACATACCCAAGCTAGGGAGGTTGGCACACTCTGCTCCCTTCTCTGTGAGATCTACTGACAAAGTGTGTGTTGATAGTTTGAGATCACTACACTGTACAGGTAGCGTCTGTGACATTCTTATTAAATCTTAAAGGGATTGTATTATGTGTTTTCCAGGCACATATAGTGACATTTTATAGCATAAACAAGTGACTATGTAACCTTCACTTAAAAATGCTGTGTATAACATCTTTCTATACTAAGTCTTTGAACTTAGTACATGCAAACACATGTACTAAGTTCAAATAGCTCCCTTTTTATCTGAGCTACCGTGTCTGTATCCGTTAGAACACAAAAGCCATGGGTTTGCCATTTAACATGCAGGCAGTTATTAGACCAAAACAAGATGCATTGCATGTCAAGGTGACAGGCTCAGCAACATTGTAATAAGCAAGAACAGGTGGGGTGGTCAGACATAATTCGAGACAGTCGGAAACTGTTTGATGTTGGGAAACCATAATCAAGGACACTGTGGGTCAAATTGACCCACAATGGGTCAAAATACATGATAAAGATCCCCCTGGAGCTTTCTGCAGCGATCATGGCTTTAGAATGATTGGATTTTCCTAAGTAATGACATTACTAAAGCCACATTTTCTGAGTTGTGACAGTAATGTTTGATCTTCCTTCAATCTTTTATACTTTAATACCCCCAAAAATATAACAAATAGGGCGATTTGATAAAATATTATTTTCCAGCGTTAAACTGAGAGCAAGTAAATTTAGCTTCGCCTAATCCGAGAAACTCTTGCAAGTAAGTAGTTGTATTGTAATGTCTTATAGAGACTCGTGAAAGATCCTGAAAGCCCACCTAAAATAAATAAAAACATAGTTTTTAGCTCCTCTCGAAGTAACACCGCTCTCTGTCCACACACAAACAGGAGTCCCCATGACCAATCAAATTTCTCTCCTCTCCACCGCGGAAATTACTGACCAATCAAATATCCTCCTGAGTCTGCTTTAGAAACGAACAGCCACTCGTTTGTTCGTCTGGTTTTCATGAGTAACTGTCTGACCAATGAGCGTTCCTACTATTTGCAACGAAGGGATGAGAGTCTGTCGAGGCCCAATCAGCGGGTCAGTGCTGCCTGCCGGTGCCGGGGACTGGTGGTGAGAATCCGCTGCAACGCGTCAGGGGGACCGGACCGTGAACCCGGAGACGGTACACACCGAGGCGAAACGACACACAGGTGAGTCCGAGGACTTGCGCAAGGCCTGGCTTTGAGCAGAGATGTTTTAAAATCTCGACAGTGGAGTTCGATTTGCAGTAGAACGGCTAATGAATTGCTGTGTCGGTTTTCTGCCGGTGAATTTGCTGATATGCTATCAGACAATAGAGTGCATTGGCTTTGCTATTTATTGATGCAGGCTGACATTTTTGCGACCAGCTCCGCCGCTTTGAACTGTTCATTTACCTTTCAAGATATCGAGACTTAGGAAAATGGGTATTGTTGTCTTGACGGCTTCAGTGTTGTGTGATTGTTTTCTTTTATATTGGCATTGTCAACAGAGATTTTATGACGTTGTGATGGAAGCGTTTTTTTTTTTTTTTTTTTTTGGAAAGCCTCCAGTTCTTTTCATTGTTTGATCCAGTCTCAAGGGGTTAACCGAAGACTGGAGAAAGAGCTGTGCTCATCCAAAAAGCCTGCTTAATGCTGCTGTTTGAAAGCGCACAGTAACGAATCGAGATGCTTTACGTGGTTCATCCAGCAGTACTGCAGGGAGAGGCGTTTTTAAACGCATCAGGAGGAGGCCCCGAGTCCTGATGGCCCTCGGCAATTAGGAAGAAAAAAATCTAAATGCATCAGCCATTTACGTGAAGACTCAACTAGCTCCATATGCACCTAAATGGCTGCCTGGCGCCTGACGGCATAACCAGCATTTTACAGTAGGGACAAAGCATTACTGAGACCGAGCGAACGTTTGCATCCTAATCGGCGGTTTAAGAGCAGTAGGTGAATTCCGAAGTGAAATCCATTTTTGACGCTTTCTGTTATTATTCTGCTGTTCTAGTGGCACAGTTAGTGTAGAGATTGTGTTGTCCTGTTGCTCTGCTCCACTGGATTTGCATGCATGTGTCTAAAGTAATTTGAATATCACTCTGATTTTTCTGGTATGCGCCATTGTTGATTTACAGCTTGTAAAAGATATGTTTGTACAAGGTTATCAGTTTGACCAAACTACAGACGTACGCTTATTATGTAGATATATTTTCCATGCTTACCAAATTTTCATTGGAAATCTGATCTTGCTCAAAGATGCTTAATGTAAAATACTATATCTAATCATTTTAAACATGTATATTTTCACCTTTTCTTAAGTGTGGAGTCTGATCTTGCTGGATTTTTGTTGTTTTTAAAGTTTCTTGTCACCTCTTTAGGACAATATGCCACTCGCATCAGAAGTAATCACAAATCCTAATTTTGTTGACCATGGTATGTACAGTCAGGTCCCTGTATCTCCCCTCCCCTTCCAGGAGTAATGGTGGGTCTGTATGAATGAAGTGGTGGAAAAACATGAATGAAGCATGCTCTTTGTGTTAGAATTTTTGCCTTATGGGCTTTTTGTACTATCTTTATACTCCTTCATGAAACAGCTATTTTAAATGCATATTCACTTATAAGTTTTGACTATATGATTCAGGTGATTAAAAAGTTTTTACACACATAAATTGACCTTAATCAAACTTATTCTGAAGGATGTAAACACTCAGGCAATATATTTGAATATAAGCTCTGCTTTTTTGGACATTCGAGTAGAATGATTTGTGAAGTCAGCGTTGTGTTTAAAGCTGTTTTACAAAATTTAAAAAAATGCATGTCAATATGTTTCACCTCAGCATTGTCCGATGGATATCTTCCATTTGCTTATTGCTTTTCAGCTATGTCCAAAAGACAGATGACTATTAATTATAATCTGTTGACATAAGTTGTTTATAATGACAAGTTTATTAATTCAGCCACGGCTTGACACTGACACTAGCTACATGCATTGCAGGTAAATTGTAGTTTTGAGTAGTAAAACATTTACTAATGTAAATGTTTTTCATTAGTAAATGTTCACACGGTAAAATTTTAAAATTAGTAGACTTATCCATTGTTTTATCCACATCAAAACAGTGAAAACTTAGTTATATAATTAACTGGTGTCGCTAAATGAAACAACAGAACAAAAAAACTAAACACAGTGTAATGATTAAAAAAACAGAACAACTCACCTCCATATATTAGTGCAGTGAAACACGAAATTATCTGTTACACAATAACTCATGGTGACACCTAACTTTCGGTGATTGATCACCATCAAGTTCTGTACAATACCCAATAGGCAAATGATGACATTACTTAAGCCACACCCACTGAGAACAGGAAGTATAATGTTTTACACTGATGGGCCCTGTGTGACCCCTTTTGAAAGAGTGTCCAGTAGCAGAAAGACATGTTCATGTTGGTTTCAACAGTGATCAGGAGTGTGAGCTGCGAGATCCTTACAAAGCTGCTTGCAGCTTTGATAACGATTCTTCTGTCAAATAAATTGGCTTTTTGGAGGCCTTAACTTGGGATGCACAATATTATTGACATTGTATCGGTATCGGCCGATAGTAGCTGTAAAATGTAATATACCATTCTGTCAAAATAACTCACTGATATAAAATGTGTATTTTTCATATGACAAACCATTGACAAAGTTCCACTGTTTGAGTGTCTTTGTCTTAGAAAGAGCATATGTCATTAATAAATGTAACATTAAACATAATGCAAGTTGAAATTTTTGCCATTTTGAAAGGGCTGCCATCATTTTCAGCCTCCTTTTTAGCTTTTGCATTTGACAGCAGCCTAGATTGACAAAAATGATGCAATAATGTTTTAATTCCACACCAGAGAAAGCCATCTCGTTTCAGTAAGTATGTATAGTAAAAAATATCAATATTGGTATCGTTTATCAGCCAAATGAGTTTTACTATATCGGCATATCAGATGTCGACCAAAGATCCAATATCGTGCATCCTAGCCTTAACATGTCTGAAAACTCACAAAACTTGGTGGACACATCAGACCTGCATAAAAGTTATGTATTTCAATTTAATTGCAAAAATCACAACATCAATGGCTCAACAGCTTCACCAGACACCTTTCAAAACATCCAACACATTGACCTTACTTTATCATAGCATATACAGGCATGGAATTTGGCACTCTGGAAGACCTACAGAAAAGTCTCCTGCACCCATGCTCTACACCCAATAGAAAATTGTCCATCTTGGATTGAATTTTAGATTTTCACCCCATTTTCGCCATTTACATCCTCTGCATTTGATAGATCGGTTTCAAACTTGGTCAGTTTTGTTCATAAGGCATGGCTGAATAATATTTATCAAAACGGTGTCTTTCTATGTCTCATTACAGACCAGCCCTCATTACATTGACACGGTCTTTTTCTACTGGATATCTTACTTTTACTCTTTGATTCATATAGGTGTAAACCTGTGCCAAGTGACATAAAAACACATGATGATGAACAGTTGCAGGAATCTATAAAAAGGTTTTTTATAGATTAAATTCCCTTTGAATTTGTTAAAAGATTTCTGGATCTGGATTCCTAGCTATTTTTGATATAGAGTCAGGTAAATTGAATTTCTTTATAATCTTGACCAAATATTGTTCCTAAATCCAGTAATAATGAATCCTGAGATTTTTTTTAACTATCTGTGTTGTTAAGGGTAGTGTATCTAGAGACAAATTTGGGCAGTCCCTTTGTGCCATATCTACCCATATTGTCTCCTGCTCATTTGCTAGCCATAGGGTTAGGACTCTGTTGACTAACCCTGTAATAGTTTCTTAATTCAGGTAAACCTAGCCCTCCATTATTCTTTGATGACTGAACCATTTTGGGTTTCATTCTTGCTGTTTTATTATGCCACACAAACCATACTCTTTTATCCAGCTGTTTGAAAAAGGAGTTAAAAATGGAAACTGGGAGTGATTGGAAGACAAGCAATAATGTTGTCAAGACATTCATTCTAATTAATTCTACCCTTCCACCTAGGGTCAATGGTAGAATCTCCCATCTTTCTAAGTCTTTTATAATTTCCTTCATCAGCTTTTCCTTCATCAGCTTTTCATAATTTGCTTTGAATAACTGAAATTTGAAGTGTGATGTCCAAGTATCGGAACCCTTTATTTATCCATTTGAACTTGACCTTTTCTTTTAGGCATTCACCTGATAACATTATTGCTACTGATTTACTTTCACCAGTTGTATATCCAGATTCCCGTACTCTTTAAGAATTTCTAGTATAGCTGGTGCTAACTGGAGTGGTTCTATTATTGCTACTAATAAATAATTGGCAATCAATTATATTTGATGTTCCACCCCTCCCTCATCTTGTATTCACTGACTTTGTTTATTTTATCTTATTGCTTCGATGACTGGTTCAACATAAAAATTTTGTTCCATCCAACGATTGTGTCCCACTTGTTGATTCTTCACAAAATAACAGTTTTACATCTTTATGTTTGAAGTCTGAAAAGAGGCAAAATGTTGAAAACTTCAAGGGGACAGAATACTTTTGCAAGGCACTCTTTACCTACCCCCTCTGTAATGGTTGAGAATTTTGTCATGTAATTGTTCTGAAACCATTGCAGACATCCCTCTTGCAGTTTTCTGAGAGCTTCTGCTTCACCTCCCTCCTGTAGGAGTCTTGTTCCTCCCTCAGGCAACCTTTCACTTCCCTCTGTCCTGCCTTTGTCTCCATCTTGTCTTTAGTCCTAAAGGCCTTCTTCTTCTGGTTGAGGCCTCCCTGTGTTACCAATAGTTTGTTGTTTGGGTAACACTGAACTGGGGTGGGAGAAAATAATATTAAGATATGTCTGTGAATTTTTATTACACTGAAATTTAAATAGTTTGTTAGACACTAAATCATCCTTTAAATACCTTCACATACCAGTTATTATTTTATAATAGTCTCTCAGGGTCTCCTGTGTTTCAGGATTCCCATTGTGTGATAGAATAAGTGGAGACACCCTGCCTTTTGGACCATGTGGATGTCCACATGGTCCATGGAATGGTCCATTCCCCCCAGGGGGGAGGAAGGGAGAACCCCTACTGGGGTTACATTATTATACAATACATCAATTATCTTGTTTCTCCTGGTGGGACAATTGACAACCTGGTGAAAAGAAACCATGGAATCCAGGGTGTGACATAATTTAAAAATAAATATATAAATGAATCACAGGAAGAAAATGCATATCCTGTCTTATCATTTGATGCATTATCACTGCCTTGTGGTTGTGTTTTAAGGAATACTTTACTACCATATCGTGTGGGAGGAAAGAAATACTGCTTATCAAAGTGGTTAATTGTTTGACTTCGCTATGCAGTGACTATTTGAACTTTTAAAACTCAATGCACATCTTGATTTTGTAGTTTTGAGCAGCTGCTGTTTCATATATATTTTTTTCTATCATGTATCAATCTGCTTTGTCTCTTTTCACTTGTACAGACCTTAAGAGGATGTCGCATTTGAGGAGGAACAACAAAGTTTTTGTTGAAGTAGACCTGCACAACTAGACCTGAATGCAATATCACAATTGCAAAAGATTGCTTAGATTATTTGGCAGACTGTAATGATTCATGGTTTTGTGCATGTTGATATTTTGTTTGGTCAGTTAGGTCATTTTAATGGTGATATACCAAAGCTCACTGTGTGTGTGGAGGGGAGGGACAATTAAATATTTTGGTCGTATTGTCCATCTCCTGTTAAAAATTGAAGTATGATTACTGTCAGACCAACAAAGATTAGTTTTGGACCCTTTTGTCTTAAATCTGTGACTGAAGGGATTGTTAGTTTGTCTTATCGGACTTTGTTAATTCTTTTATTTTTCTCTGTCTCTCTCTTTTTTTTAACCTCTTAGGATGGAGCGGATGTCTGATGATACACTGAGGCTCAACCTGTTAAAGCGAGGTCTGGAGTCACCCAGTGAGAGAGAGGAGGCGCTGTCAAAGCGCCTAAAAATGGAGGGTCACGAGGCCATGGAGCGCTTGAAGATGCTTGCTCTTCTCAAACGCAAGGACTTAGCTGATCTGGCTGCCCTAGAGGTCCCAGGGACGCTTGGAGATGGAAAAGGCCCCAGTGCAAGCTCCATCCACCACCAGAGTCTAATGGGTGCGGCTTATGAGGAGAAGCTGAATGGAAGTTTAAGGCTTGGTAGCCACAGTGTTCATGTCAGTCAAAGTAAGAATGGAAAGGAAAACATTATGGATGAGCCAGTGGATATGAGTGCTGGAAGAAGATGGTGAGTTAAATATTTATTTCCTAAAAGATTATGGCAAATAAAGTAATCTTGTATTCTGAATAGGGTCACACCTTTAATTTAATAATTAGTGTGTTTAGTTTTTTTTCCTGCACTTCTTCATAGCACAGATGTATGATATTTTTTGGGTGTAGTCCACAAAATATTATCCATTACCTCAGCTATACACCACTACCTGTATTGTAGGGTACAGGTTGTGGTACAACATACCACTATTTTTAGTTCTGAGGTAGTGGTGAATAAAGTAGTGGATATGGTTTACAGTTTATATTTATGGCCCAAACCCAACCACAAATATTGATTTGACAGTTGGGGGAGGATTGGGTTCAGATTTCTGTGGAATGTTTAATAAGTCTGCAATACATGTATATATTCTCTCTGCATATTCTCTCAGAGTACAGCAAAAAGAAAGGCAAACGAGAATGCACAATATAAAGTTTTGTTGGGTCCAGCATACTTCGTCTGAAGCCAAATAACTGATGCACAGTCACGTGGTTTCAAACGATTTGTCTTTGCACACAACTTTCATACAATAGCACAGACCAGCTATGGGACGCCTCACCTGCTTTAGTGTTTGTCACCTGCTTTAGTGTTTGTCCTCTGAATCCTCTGTTTTGCGTTTAGGAAACTCATGGAGACAGCCTTCTCTTTTCACAACGTTTCAATTTCTATTGAGTTAACCATTTGACAGTCTTATTTTCATGATATTTAGTGAGGAATTGTACAAATGAATATAATTTCCCATTGTGTTACTTCGTTCCTCAAAAGTATTCATATCTCCTGAAAAGTTAAAGACTACAAAATCAAGACTATTGCTTTGATTTGTATGACAGTTTACTAATACACTAAAAGTTTAAAATTACCACAAAAAAAAAAAACAAACATTGAGAACAATATGTTGGTGCATCCCAATCTGTGGTAGACTTCAGCAATGTCAATTTGCATCTATCTGAGATCAAGGAACTATCTTAAAAGGTAGGAGCTGTTCTTTTACAAGAGAATGAAACAGTGTCCAGAACCCACATGCACAAATAAACCTCGAATGTTGACTGTTTCAACATTATTGAAACAATCAACAATCATTGTTTCACCTGTTGATTGTTTTCTAATTGGATTTCCTAAAAATCCAGCAACTGCTTGGATGCTGGCTCCCTTCATATCACTGCCTAGTGTCCTACTCTGAATGTGGTTCTTTGATTTTATGAAATAAATTTCAAGAAGGGAATCAACTTGTTGCCCAAGATATTTCTCTTAGCCTTTTTTGACAAACACAAATATTGTTTTATAATTTACTTTTCAGCTTTCACAATACACTCTATTGCCAAAAGTATTTGCCCATTTGCCTTGACCCACATATGAGCTTAATCCCTAATCAGTATCACATTGGTCCACCCTTTGCAGCTAGAACAGCTTCAACTCTTCAGGGAAGTCTGTCCACAATATTTAGGAGGAGGGGATTTTTGTCCATTCTTCCAGAAGTGTATTTGTGAGGTCACATAGTGATGTTGGACAATAAGGCCTGCCTCTCAGTCTCTGCTCCAATTTATCCCAAAGGTGTTCTATCAGGTTGAGGTCAGGACTCTGCAGGCCAGTCAAGTTCATTGACCCCATACCTTGCCATCCATGTCTTTATGGACCTTGCTTTGTGCTCTGGTGCTCAGTAATGTTGGAAGAGGAAGGGGTCAGGTCCAGACCGTTCCCACAAAAATGGGAGCATGGAATTATCCAAAATGTCTTGGTATGTCAAAGTATTCAGAGTTCCTTTCACTGGAACTAAGGGGCCAAGTCCAGTTTCTGAAAAACATCCCCACACCATGATCCCCACTCCACCAAACTTTACACTTGGCACAATGCAGTAAGACAAGTACTGTTCTCCTGGCAACCGCCAAACCCAGAGTTATCCATCAAGTTGCCTTATGCAGAAAGCGTGATTCTTCATTCCAGTGAACGAGCCTCCACAGTTCTAGAGTCCACTTTATACCACTGCATCTGACGCTTTGCATTGCTCTTGGTAATGTGTGGCTTGGATGCAGCTGGTCACCATGGAAACCCATTTCATGAGGATCTCTGCTCTGTTCTTGAGCTAATATGAAAACCACATGAAGTTTGGAGGTCTGTAGTGATTGAGACCATTGCACCAGAGTGTAACGGTGACCTCTATGCACTGTGCGCTTCAGCGTGTACTGACCCCGCTCCGTCTGTTTACGTGCTCTACTACTTAATGGCTGAGTTGCTGTCTTTCCCTAACGCTTCCATTTTATTATAATACAGCTGTGGAATATTTAGAAGTGAGAAAATTTCACGAGTGAATTTGTTGCACAGGTGACATCCTAACACAGTTCCACACTTGAATTTATCAAGCTATTTGTAAAAACAATCTGCATACTTAGGTGCTTAATTTTCTTTACTTCTGGCCATGGAAATGATTGGAACACCTGATTTCAGTCATTTGAATGGGTGAGCAAATACTGTATGGAAGCCCAGTGTTTTAATTATGTATTGAGAGAAATGTGACATTATCTTTATAAGAAATGAAATCACATCTATCCTATCCCATTTGAATATCTTTAATCTCTATGATTTACCTGTTTTGGTTCAGCAAAAATGCATCAAGTACTTTTTTCTCCATTGATGTCAGTTGTAGAGAAGTAAAATTACAATTTTGTTTTACCATGTTTTATCTTCCTAATTGTCTGAATATTCAGTTTGGAATATTCAGACAATTATGATGTTCGAGTAACAATCATAGTGCTTGTTTTAAACCAGTGCCTTTAAGACACTTTTCCACTAGCAGCCTCTAACCAGTTTGGTCTGGTCCACGTCCGACCAGATTAATTTTTCATTAGCAAATTCAGCATGACTCTGCCCAGCAATTCTCAGATTTTCAGACCTATTCAAGGATAGTAGTAGCTGGACCGAGCCAGGGATACCGCCAAAGCGATTTGATTGACAGCTGATGGCGTTGATTGACTGGCTTGTTCTTACCTTACAGCAAACTTTGAAGCAATATTATGGTTTACCTGCTCAGTACAAAGAAGCAATTTTGAGTTTAATCAGGAGCAGCGCTCGGAACACATGCTTTTAAGTTTTACAGTGGCATGACCTTGATATATCAGCGTTGCCAGCAGCATGTTACTTTGAAGAACTGGCAGCAATAAAGAAGAGAGAAACAGTCCAGCTGTGGTCAGTTTTCTGATCAGGCAATTGTTTTTTATGGAAAAGCTCACTACCTGGGGTTGAACTGAACTGCACATTAACTGGTTAGGGCACGACTTGCCAGTGGAAAAGCACCGTTAGTTGTTTTTAGTGCAGTGAAAACAAATACATCTAATTGATTTGTCTTGTATTGACCTCAGACTTTATATGTTCTAACTTTTTGTTTGTTTTTTTTTTTGTTTGTTTTTTTTTTAGTGAAGTTGATCGTGACAGACAAACTCCTTCTCCAGATGTCATCATACTTTCAGACAACGAGGCATCCAGTCCCAGGACAACACCTCAACCTGAAGAGCGCATGCATCAGGCTAATTTGGAGATTTTTAAGGTTCATTTAGAACAGCTCCCACTTCTTCTTTGTACACAATGATTCAATCTTTCCTCTGTCTTATTGTGGTTATGACAAATATTTAGCATACCTTTGGAGATTCATTTTAACAGACAATGGAAAAACTATATCTGAAACAGACTTTTAATTAGTTTTAAAAAATTCAGTTTTTGAAATTTAGAGTTCCATATTTCATATGGCTGGTGGCTTTGAATTTACTATTTGTATTTTACTATTTTGACAAAATTTTGTGGGGGATAAATGGGTTTTTCAATTTAGGTACCACCTGAATGTATTGATTCTTTTAACAGCCATACAAAATATGGAAAGTCAAGCTGAAATGAGCACACCTGGTATGTAGTAACACTGGTTTGCAGTAGGCTCTCTGTGAATGAAGATTATCAGGAAACTGAATACTTCCCTGATTGTTAGTATTCCATTAGGAAAGTATGATTCTGATAGTGAGGTACCAAATGTAATGTAGAGTTTGCGCTCTCGTTGTGTAACATTGGGCCCAGGAGCTTTCAACCTTAGGGGAAAGGTTGTATTGTCAAAGTAGTGCTAAATGTTAAAGTGGAGAGTAGGAATGTGCAATATACGGCAGAAACATGTACCGTTTATGTTTCTACCTATACATAGGCCAAATTGCTATAATAGAAATTCGGCCTACAATAGAGAGTCTACCAGCGAACTGCAGTAATACTTGTTTGTGACACAATAATCCAGTATCAAAATAGAGAAAGCGGAAAGCAGCATGGCTGAAAGCACAAGGGAAGAGCTCGCTAAAAAGGCAGGTGCAAAAACCTAACTTATCTGGACTTAGTTCAGATTTATCTTCCTGTGGTCTTAGCGCGATGCTCAGGAGGAGTGCAGCAGATGTTACAGTTGTACTGCGGAAAAGCAAGGGGTGAAAGCCCATGTGGGTTTGGTGCGAATTCCTCCATGACGCACACGAGATAACGTTCACTGAGTCCAATGGACCCCGCTTCTAACCTTCCCACTGTCTTAGCACAATGCTCAGGAGGAGCATGGCAGGTTTCACGGTTAGACATTGTGGAAGCGCCATGGGGTGGGTGGAAGCGCCATGGGGTGGTCTCACAGTCTTTCTAAAACCACACAGAAAAACCTTTCTGGAAAAAAAAAAACACAGATGTGATGACCCCACCAGACCATGCACAGAGTTAAACATTCAAATCAGGAGCAGAAAATTGTAATCTGCAAAATGTGTGAAGAGAGGACATACAAGCAATTTGTTTTACCACCTTAACATGAAGCATGTGCTTGAATACCAGAAATGTAGCTGACTTCAAGTTCCAGTTACTACACTGAGAAGACAAAGCAAGATCTGACACAGACATCATTACATGAAACTTGTTTCTAGCTAGAAATATATTTTTCATTTATTTTTTTTAAGTTTGATCTTACCTGGTATTCACCATTGAGATTATGCTCCTGTCTATCATTGCCAAATAAATGGTAATGATAGGCAGCAACATAAAACAAAACGGTTTTGCTGCTACATAAAACCAAATAGACAACACCCACTAAAACCAGTGCTAAACAAGTTTTTATCCATACAAATATATACATTCCTTTCAATAAGTATATGATTTTTTTTGTATTGTAAGTTGTATACAAATTATATTGTGATATATATCAATACTGCTATCCATCACAATATGTGATTTGAATTATATGCCACATCACACATACCTTGTGCGGATTTCAACACAAAGTTCACTTGATCTACATAATGAAACATTGCCTAGTTTAGAATAATTTTTTACTTCTAGAAGTTTTAGTATGACAATCAGTATTTATTTAGTTACTGGTAATCACTTTATTACTTAAGAGCCATCGTAAAAAAAAAGATTTTAAAATTAGTTTAATTGAAGTCTAAAATGTAATGACTGGTTGCTTCTGTAATTCCATAAGGCATAGTTTTCTGATGAGATGTTTTTTTTATTATGTATTTATTTGTGTTTATATTGACTGAGCTTACTCTGCTTTTCTGCAGAAGGGTGTAACTAACATACATATTGATGGCTACACCAGTTGTTCTTTACTAATTTCCTTTGGTTATTTCCAAAATAATAGAGCTTATTTTTAGTTTCTTTATCTGTAAACCACTGGTCATATAATCCCCAAAAATGAATCTGTTTACAGCTTTTGTTCACAAGAATAATTCCAAAAAAAGATTGTTAGGAAAGTGACAGCTCGAAATACAATTTTGTTAGTGGGTATCAATTGAAATTTCAGCAGTTAACTGAAACACTTCAGATTCAGTAGCAATCTCTAATTGATGCACTCTATACTCGATGCACATGTTAATGTTAGAATACATACAAAGGCCTGTCACAATAACAAATTTTGTTGTGGGATTAATTGTCCCAGAAGTTATTGTGATAAATGATATTATTTTGAGACCATTGTTTACTAATAGCATAACAATTGTCTAACAAATGCAAATACACTTTCTCAGGGATCGATACACTAATTTCAAAAGAACATTTAGCGCTGGAACTCTTAACTATAAAAATTGGGAAGATTATGGGGGGGTTACATTAGGCACTGTTCAGATTCAGATCCTCCAGTTGATGGGAGGGCACGAATGGGCTGCCCCCTCAAAGTGCCGCTCTGTGCTGTTGCCCATGTTGCCTCAGTGATTGTCAATAGAATGGTTCCCAAGCAAGCAAACGGCATCTGTGCATTTTAGGTGCAGATATGTTGGTTATTGATTAGTTACTAATGTTTCACAACATGGCGGCTCCACAGGTTCAATGGTTTACCACAGTCATTCAGTTTGAATCCAAAGCCTCCCAGACAGCAGCTGTTACTTTTGGCTTTTAGACCTGCGTTTCTCCAGCTCACTCCTTGTCACTGGAGTCTGTGGTAGGAGCCCAGGAGCACAGCAGGTAACCGAGGTAATGATAATATGGTGACGGGAGAGACTGCTGCTCCTTCTCCATTCATTTCTATCGAGTTTGTTTGGTGAGGGGACAGACAGACGAGCAAAAACGAGATTTATTATCGTTCAATTATTATGAAAGCACTATATGTTGTAGAGTTGTTGGTTTTCAAAATGCCATGTATAGTGTACTAAGTACACTATATTTTAATGAAACAAAGTAATCTGGTAGGGATCTATAACTCATGGTAAATTTGAAGCACAAAATAAACCTCTATGTTTTCGCAGTTTGAAAAATTACCAAAAGAACTTAATACAAGGTCAATAAATTTGGGTGCTGTTTGGGGCCTGCCCATAGCAACTCTCAGCCAGATTTGCATCGCATGGAGCTATTACTTTTGGTCGGATTCGGAGTTACGATGGCGACATAAAAAGCGAAAAACGACCAAAATTTTTCATCATTTAGAAACTGCCCAAACTAGAGTGTAACTGACGTTTCGTTACAGTGTGGGAAGCAGTGCGATTCTGACCCCAGATAAATTTTGAAATTGCCATCATGCCCACAAATATCGCCCTATCGGTATCAAACTCGGTCATGACATAGATACGCATGCCTGCTCCGGTAAAATGTTTTCAAAATTTTTTTAGGGCTTACGGTTTTCTGTCAAGCGGCTTCAGAGTGAAATCATGTTCCAGGGTAACTGACGCTCTCCACCATATATTTTCATACTTTTATGGAAAATTTCAGGCCTCAGCGCACACAATTTTTCTCTCATCGCTGAGGTTACTGTGAATGAGCTACAGATATGATTTGCAGGACTATTGGAGATGACAAATAGCGCTCTCATACGCTTCAAACGGTTTTCCGATACGCATCACGGTTCCCGAGCGGCAAGGAGTTGTTCTGGCTGCTTTTTACATTAAAACTGACTGGGTGTCTCACAAAGATAGAAATCTGTCTCCACCTCTCTGTCTCACACATGACAGCTGGCAGAGGAACCATTACCATAGCAACGGAACACAGCAGGACCAGCTGATTAGGACTACAAAATTGCATCACTGCAGTTTTTATTATGGCAGAGCTCTGAGGAAGGAGTTGGCCTTTAGAACTACTTGTGTTTTGGGCATTTTATAATTGATTTTATAGTTATACACAGGATTGTGTATAACTATACACAATGTTACACACAGGATTAGTGTGGCAATTTTAAATGAAGCTTAATGAAAATTTCAAAATAAAATCCCTGACATTCTTTTATGTCACGTAATTGCTCTCTTGGGCATTGTGTGACTTTTTTTTTTTTAACAAAGCCACTGTTACACTTTGGATTATTTTGGACATTTAAAATGAAGCTTAATGAAAATTTCAAAATAAAAGCTTTAAGATTACTTTCTGGCTCATGCCTATTTTAGTGAAAATGGTTGCCTCAAACTGATAGAATTATGTCTCCCCCTGTCTGACTCACAGCCTGCAGAGGATCCATTACCATAGCAATGGAACACAGCAGGTCCAGCTGAGTAGGACTACAAAAACGCATCACTGTAGTTCTAACTGTGGTAGAACTCAGAGGAAATAGCTGGACTTTAGAACTGCTTCTGTTTTGGGCATTTTATAACTCATTTTAACCAACCATTGTTACACATGGAATTAGTGTGGCAATTTTAAATTAAGCTTAAAAAAATTCAAAATAAAAGCCTTAAGATTCATCTGTGGCTAATGCAGCGCCGCAATATTAGCTTGCATTATCTTTTCCACTCAAGTCAGTGGAAAATGTTAATGCACTGTTTTGCTGTGCAAGACAGTGCATTAACAATAGCACAAACATTAGCATTTCACTGTTCGCCACTAGTGCACTGCCGTAGGCAGTGCAATAAGATTATCCTGCATGATCATGCAGGATAACATGCCAGTGATGCTCCACCTGCTACTGACACTATTCATGCTAACATTAGCAAAGCTTAGCATGGATGCTAATGTTTAGCATCAGAACGCTGGGTCCAAACTGATGGGCATACTTTGGCAGGCCCCGGTTAAATTTCTTCAGGAATTTTGTAGTTATAACTTCTTCATCCGCTAACGTTAATGGGGCTCATACCGCTGCAAGCCCACACACAAAACTTGTTTCAAAACGTGCGGCTCGGCGCCGGCATTAGAGCTAACACTTTTGGTGTGATTTGGAATTACAATGAGGAAGTAAAAAGCAAAAAACGCTAAAAAAATTTCGTCAGTTACAAACTGCTGAAATTAGAGCATAACTGATGTTTCGCTACAGTGTGGGAAGCAGTGCAATTTTGACCCCAAATAAATTTTGAAATTGCTGTCACACCCACAAATATTGCCCGATCGGTATCAAACTCGCTTATGACATTGATATGCATGCCTGCTCCGGTAAAATGTTTTCAAAATTTTCCTGGGGCTTACGGTTTTCTGTCAAGGTGCTTCAGACCGAATTCATGCAACAGGATTTCCACACGCTCAGCCAGATTGACTTCCATGTATTTCTGAAAAATGTCAGACCTCAGCGCACACCATTTTTTATCTCATCTCTGTTATTACCGTGAGTGAATCGCGGGACTTTTGGAGTAGCGAAATAGCCCTCTGGTACGCTTCCAACGGTTTTCCGAACAGGAAGGAGTTGTTCGGACCACTTTTTTTTAATCAAAAATGGCAGCCTTCTCCATACAGGAGGATAATTCTGTCTCCTCCTGTCTGATTCACAGCTGGCAGAGGATCCATTACCATAGCAACTTCGCACAGCAGGGCTGAGCAGCTGATTAGGACTACAAAAACGCATCACTGTAGTTCTAACTATGGCAGAATTCTGAGAAGAAAAAAAAAGCTGACCTTTAGAACGACTTATGTTTTGGGCATTTTACAACTCATTTTAACCAACCATTACTGGAATTTGTGTGGCAATTTTAAATTAAGCTTAAAAAATTTTCAAAATAAAAGCCTTGATGATTTTTCCATCAAGTAATTGCTCTTTTGACCATTATATAACTGATTTAACCCAATAACTGTTACACATGGGATTATATTAGCCATTTAATTTCAAAATAAAAGCCCTAAGATTTGTTTGTGGCAAGTGCAGCGCCTTTGGCGTTGCAATGATATTGGCTTGCATCATCTTTGTCTCTCAAGTTAGGGCTCTGTCTTGCTGTGCAAGACAGTTCATTAACATTAGCACAAATATTAGCATTTCACTGTTCCCCACTAGTGCACTGCCATAAGTAGTGCAATAAAATCATCCTGCATTATCTTTTTCTCTCAGGTTAATGAGTTATTAGCTATTTCTCTGATTTATTACCCATGTTTAGTAAAGTGAATGGAGTAAGTCAATTACAGAGAACATGTTCGTGATGCTCCACATGCTACTGACAGTATTCATGCTAACATTAGCATTTTGGCTAATTTTAGCTTGTACACTTATTTTAACATACTGAATGGTGCAAGTCCATGTTAGTGAACATTATTGTGATTCTCCACATGATACTTTGTCATTTTTTAGCCAAGCTTAGCAATGATGCTAATGTTTAGCATCACAACGCTGGGTCCAAACCGACGGGCACACTTTGGCAGGCTCCGGTTAAATTTATTCAGGAAATTCTAGTTGTTTTCTAATATCTTAGTCTTGATAAATAAAATCTTTAAAACCATATCTCTGCATCGACTACCTTCGCTGATGAATCAGATTGGGCTACTCTTGAAATGGAGTGCATAAGCAGCACAAGATCATTTTGAATACTGAAAATGGTTGCAGAATCGTACTTTAGAAACCACTGGTTTAAAACCTTTTAGTGTAAAAAATATAAAGTGAAATTGCTGCTTTTTGTTCTGAATCTGTTTTTCCATAAACTGGCATATAACTGTTCCTCTTTCGTCACTCACATGTTGATCTGAAACATGGTTAAACCTTGGTGAGCCAATTAAACCAAGTATCATTACAAAAGTTAATGGTTTTAGTTAAAAGTCCATGACTGTAAAAGTCACTGTAAAAAAGTAGTTACTGTGTATATGTGTGATTGCATGTGTTTCTTGTTCTTCAGGGAAAAACAGAAGAGGAGCGGCAGCATATGATCAAAGCTCTGAGGGAAGAGCTGCGCCTGGAAGAAGCCCGACTTGTCTTGCTCAAGAAGCTTAGACAAAGCCAGATGCAAAAGGAGAACATTGTGCAAAAGGTTAGTGGTTTTTATTATTTACATCCTTAGAAGAGAATAGGCTTTTGAGATCTTAAATATAAAAAAAAGACGTTGAATATGAACATATCTATAAACAGGATCATTGTTCTATAGAAAATGTTCATTTTACATGCTTGTCTTAGGTTAATATGAACCAAAACACCTAACATGTGTTGTGCTCTAGACCGAATCTCTGTTCATAGGGCAGTGGTGGGATTCACCAAGCATTCCTGTACATGTTTAGGTGTGTTGCAGCTTCAACACAGCTATATGATGTTGATATGTGACTGGAACTGATTGATATTTCCTTTCAATCCAAAATACTGAAGTGGGAACACATGTAAAGCAGTTTCAACCGTGAGCCTAACAACCACATTTAGGAAGTAGTTTTTAAGTTTTTTCGACTTGGAACACCAGGAGCTCACAAGAAGGCATTTTTGCTCGTAGAATGACTCTACAAGCCTCTCAAAAGTCTCCTGTGTGATATAAATAATGTGTGATAAGTGCAGTATGTTCCAAATAGGAATACATCAGACTGGCAAAAACTTATTATTTGAGTTATTGATGGCTAAACTTATAGACAAATGTGTTGGTCACAGTGTTGTAGTACTCGAAAACGGTCTTGGTCTCGAGACCGGTCTTAAGACCATTTTTTGATAGTCTCGGTCTTGTCTCGGACTCGACCACATTTGGTCTCGGTCTTGTCTCGGTCTCGGACATTGAGGACTCGGTATTTTATTTCAAGACCGGTCAAGACCACAACTGTGAAAATAACGCTAAATCATCAGTATCAATTTCTTTAAGATCCTTCTTTTTATTGGATGCACTCCTGATTCAAATCCAAGCAATAACCCGTCTCATTGGTAAATGCATGTTCTTGTTTTTTTTAACTGCTGTCGCCCCACCCCTTTCACCTTGAGCTGCGGACTGCAGCACTTCGATTGAAAGTTACAAGTGGTTGTCTGGGAAGGGGATAAGATGTCGGCCAAATCATCGGTTATAAAATTTGGCTATTTAAATCACAAACAATACATTTGTAAAGCAACATTGAGAAAAAAGCATACAGCGCAATGTAAGTTCTGCAGTGCTTCACTATCAGAGACGGTGGGGACTACGTCCAACTTTTATCGACACCTTGAAAGAAAGCACAAAGAAAGGTAAGCTGTGTGTAAAAGTGATATTAGGAAAGCTAGCAAGTTAACATAAGCAATTTCCTCGGTATCAAAATTATTCTACCCGGCCATCACACAGTTCTTATTTCAATATTAGCTACACATATTAAGTTAGCTAAAGTTATATATGTATGCTTTATCTTTTAGGGTGAACGTTCTCCTTTCTTATCCGCTATTTGCCACCTAGCTTGATGCACAAGTTGTCACCTAGTAGTGTTTGTGAAAACATGTCGGACATTACTGATTTAATTTAAAGAAGTGTTGATTCGTGTTGTGCATGGACAACGCTGTTTCAATTACAGCTTTCCTGAACATGTCTCCGTATTTCTGTCAGCTTCATGAGTGGATTGCAGCACATAGGTGGAAGCAGAGCAAAAATAAAAGTCTCAATAGATAATTGTAATATATTTGGGTTCTTGTTCAATACTTCTCATGAAGGAGGAGACTGATGTGGAAGTCTCTACCTATGTTTATTAATAACCATAATAAGGTGACGTACGTAACCATGACAGAACAATGGTTCGTAATGGTTCTGTCAATAAGTAACCATGACAGAACGTAATGGTTCGTAATGGTTACGTTCTGTAACGTAACCATGACAGAACGTAATGGTTCTGTCAATAAGTAACCATGACAGAACGTAATGGTTCGTAACCATGACAGAACGTAATGGTTACGTTCTGTAACGTAACCATGACAGAACGTAATGGTTCTGTCAGCATGTGCTGGCTTGTGCTGGTGGGTAACCCCAATGTCTCCAAAGCCATCATATATAATTTATTAATGTGCCAAACCTGATATGCTTAACCTCAATTAAGTTGTATTTTCTTGCATTGGTCCTACAATTAACATTATTAAGGGAAGTAAGCAAATGCAGTTAACCTTGAGAGACTGAGTCGACTGGACATATAATAACAACCTGTTCCTAAGTTTGATTTTTTCTTTCTCAGGGAGGAAGTGAAGGAGATCAATCTTTTTTTCAACAAATTATCTGTGTCATAACATATTGTCACAACTTGGTGATAGATATAGATTTATTTAAGAAAAGTTATATAATGTAGCTATAATCTGTATACGAGAGAGAAACGAGAGAAATGATTGGCATTTTTTCAGTTTTACACATGTGCACATGGTTTTGAAATAGCACATTTAAAAACAACATAAATGTATGTACTGTTCATGAAAGGCAGGGAAAATACTATTTTGATCGACTTTGATTGTTTGAAATTCTGTGATTACAACATAGAAGTACTAAATAAAGATGTTTGTTTATTCCAGTTCTCTGTGTAAAATATTTAGGTGTTTTTACGTGAATGTGGGTCTTTTAGATCAATTTTAGTGATTTTGATCATGTTTCACATTTTATTGTCACATACTGGCGCTGGTCTTGGTCTTGACTCGGTCTCGACTTCCCTCGGTCTTGGTCTTGACTTGGTCCCAGACCCTAAAAGTCTTGGTCTTGTCTCGGTCTCGATACACTCTGGTCTTGGTCTTGTCTTGGTCTCGGGTTAGGTGGTCTTGAACACAACACTGGTTGGTCATATACACAAAAAGCACTACATTAAAATATTTTCATTTTGTGATAGCAGACAGTGTCACTTGAGCACTAATATATATATATATATATATATATATATATATATATATATATATATATATATATATATATATATATATATATATATATAAATTCCCTTCTCACCCACCGCGGGTGGTTCTTATCCTCTGAGCTCGGGTCCTCTACCAGAGGCCTGGGAGCTTGAGGGTCCTGCAGTATCTTGGCTGTGCCAAGGACTGCACATTTCTGGACTGAGATGTCTGATGTTGTTCCTGGGATCTGTTGTAGCCACTGCTCCAGTTTGGGGGTTACTGCCCCGAGGGCCCCGATGACCACAGGCACCACTGTGGTCTTCACCTTCCAGGCCCTCTCCAGTTCTTCCCTGAGGCCCTGGTATTTCTCCAGTTTCTCGTGCTCCTTTTTCCCGATGTTGCAATCACTTGGTATTGCTACATCTACCACAACGGCTTTCCTCTGATGTTTATCCACGACGACAATGTCTGGTTGGTTCGCCATTACCATTTTTTCTGTCTGGATCTGGAAGTCCCACAGGATCTTAGCTCTGGCGTTCTCCACCACCTTTGGGGGTGTTTCCCACTTTGATCTCGGGGTTTCCAGTCCATATTCTGCACAGATGTTTCTGTACACTATGCCTGCCACTTGGTTATGTCGCTCCATGTACGCTTTCCCTGCCAGTATCTTGCACCCTGCTGTGATGTGCTTGACTGTCTCAGGGGCCTCCTTGCACAACCTACACCTTGGGTCTTGTCTGGTGTGGTAGATCTGGGCCTCTATTGCTCTCGAGTTTAGGGCCTGTTCCTGGGCGGCCAGGATGAGGGCCTCTGTGCTGTCCTTGAGTCCAGCTTTTTCCAGCCATTGGTAGGATTTACTGATATCAGCCACTTGGGTTATTTGCTGGTGGTACATCCCATGTAGGGGCTTGTCCTCCCATGATGGTATCTCTGGCACCTCAACCTCCGTTCCCTGTTGTCTGAGACATTCACTGAGCACATTGTCTGTTGAGGCTTTGTCCCTGATGTATTTATGGATCTTAGTTGTTTCGTCCTGGACAGTGGTTCTCACACTCACTAGTCCTCTGCCTCCGTCCTTGCGGCTCGTGTACAGTCTCAGGGTGCTGGATTTGGGATGGAACCCTCCATGCATGGTTAGTAGCTTTCTAGTCTTAATATCTGTGGCTTTTATCTCCTCCTTTGGCCAGCTAATTATTCCAGCAGGGTATCTGATTACTGGCAGGGCATAGCTGTTTATCGCACGGATTTTGTTCTTGCCATTGAGCTGGCTTCTCAGGACTTGCCTTATTCGTTGGAGGTATTTAGCTGTGGCTCCTTTCCTTGTGGCCTCATCGAGGTTGCCATTTGCTTGTGGTATACCTAGGTACTTGTAACTGTCCTCTATGTCTGCTATTGTTCCTTGTGGGAGTGAGACTCCTTCTGTGCGGATCACCTTCCCCCTCTTTGTGATCAGCCGACCACACTTCTCTAGTCCGAATGACATCCCAATGTCAGTGCTGTAGATCCTGGTGGTGTGGATCAGTGAGTCGATGTCTCGCTCACTCTTGGCATACAGCTTGATGTCATCCATGTAGAGGAGGTGACTGATGTTGGCCCCATTTTTGAGTCGGTATCCATAGCCAGTCTTGTTGATAATTTGGCTGAGGGGGTTCAGGCCTATGCAGAACAGTAGCGGGGACAGAGCATCTCCTTGGTATATGCCACATTTGATGGACACTTGTGCAAGTGGTTTGCAGTTGGCTTCAAGGGTGGTTTTCCACAGCTTCATCGAGTTTGCAATGAAGGCTCTCAGAATCCTGTTGATGTTATACATCTCTAGGCATTCAATGATCCAAGTATGCGGCATTGAGTCATAGGCTTTCTTGTAATCGATCCAAGCCATGCACAGGTTGGTGTGTCGGGTTTTTGCAGTCTCGGGCAACTGTGCGGTCTACGAGGAGTTGGTGTTTGGCTCCTCTGGTATTTACACCGATACCCTTCTGTGCCGTGCTCATGTGTTTATCCATGTGTTGCTTATCTTGGCCGCTATGATGCCTGACATGATCTTCCAGGTTGTGGAGAGGCAGGTTATTGGTCGGTAGTTGGGTGGGACTGGACCCTTTGATGGATCCTTCTGGATTAGGATTGTCCGCCCTTCAGTTAACCATTCAGGGTGAGTCCCACTTTGTAGCAGCTGGTTCATTTGGGCTGCCAGTCGCTCATGGAGAGCAGTGAGTTTCTTTAGCCAGTAGGCATGGATCATGTCAGGCCCTGGTGCTGTCCAGTTTTTCATACCTGAGACTCTTTCTTGAACATCTGTCACAGTGATGGTTACCGGGGCTTGCTCAGGGAGGTTGCTGTGGTCCTCTCGTAGAGAGATCAGCCACTGTGCATTTCTGTTGTGGGACGCCTCCCTTTCCCATATGCCTTTCCAGTATTGTTCAGTCTCCAGCCTTGGTGGGTCTGCTCTGTTGTTATTACCCTGCCATTGAGAGTACACCTTAGCTGGTTGAGTGGAGAAGAGCCGGTTAATCCTTCTGGATTCATTCTCCCTTGTGTATCTCTTTAGGCGGCTGGCCAAGGCTTGGAGCCTCTGTTTGGCAGTTTCAAGTGCTTCAGGTATGGGCATCTGCCTGTACTTTCTGGGTACTGGTCTTTTCATTGCACCCTTGTGGAGCTCTGATAGTTGGCTCTCTTCCCTCCTTGTTACCTTGATTTTAGCCTCTAACCGTCTTTTCCATGGTGGGTATTGGGTCTCATGGTTGCTCTTATAGGCAAGCAGCTCAAGGATCACTGATGCTGAGTTGTAGATCAGCTCATTGGTTTCCATTATGGTGTTGGTAGGGATTGTTCTCAATGCTGCATTCACATTTCAATGAGGCTTTCTGATGGTACTTCACTCAGCCGTTGTTATTGGCGCCGAGGAGGTCTGGTTGTCATTTGGGTCACGATTCTGTCTCTCAGGTCAGAAGCTGTCTCGTTCAGCTCTGATTCAGTCATTGGGGCCGCATGTCCCCTCTATGGGTGGGGACTTGTAGTTAAGTCCCCACTGTTTTGACATCCAGGTTCCTCCTTTTTGCTATAGCATTTGTGATGTACCTCATGAATCTCAAGTTGTGACAGCATTTGTCATTTGCAGATGCTGGAACACTGAGCTACTAGTTGTTCAGTGCTTAGTGTTGACTGGGGATGTCGAAGTAACCATTCCTTCCCCAGTCTTTGCATGTAACCTCTCTGATTAGGGTTACTTGAGTAGTAGCATTCCAATAGATCCAAGTTTTTACCTCTCGCCCATTTCCATCTTGTTCCAGTAGCCCATTTATCATCAAGGTGCTCTGGTTCCGCAGAACCTGATGTAGATCTCGTTTGGCCGGGCGACATCTGAGCTGGCATGTTTCGCATCTCAATATCTCTCATGGTATGAGGTAGGCCGTAGGTTGAAGGCTTTTGCCTAAGGACCCAGACTGGATTCGAACCTAGCCCTCTCGGGTGAAAGACTGATTACTTATCATTTATTTCTGTTGTCCTGTCACCACATAATCATAAAAACAAATATAAAAAATATTTTAACAAAGTTACATACTGCATCTTTTAATACCTTTCATTTGCAGTTTATTTATTGTTCTCACATTGAGTTGCAATGCCAAAAGATTTCCGGTCTTGTCTTCCTGCTGATACTTATAGTATTTTAATACTACTTGTAACAGTGTAAACATAACTGTTTTGATAATGTATCATGTCCAAAAAAAGTTGCCTCATGGCAAAACGCACCCTGTGTATGGAGTAGGAGTAAGTTGGGGACAGTTGTGGGGTAAATTGAGTTATATACCTTAAAACATATACTCTAGCTTTCCTCCTAAATTGACTCCGCCCCTTCATTACCTCCTAAACAAACATCTCTTGTTCCCATCAGGTGCATTCTTTATTTAAGCACAATTCATTGTATTCAATAATTTTTTCGAGGCCCAGCAGTATTTCAGCTGCACCAAACATGAGTCCAATTTAGAGATAATACTCAGATGAGAATTGTTTTGTGATTTAGTTAAAAGTGAGGTAGTTTTTTTTTTTTTTTTTTTTTCTCAGCTTCCTTCCTGATGAGGGTGTATAGAAAGACCTGGATGGGACATCAAGGAATGAAAGTGTTCCACAGTCTCCAGCAGAGAGGCATAGGCAGCTCCTACAGACATTTTTTTGATACAATGGTCCTCTCTCTCTTTAGAGGCATCACTGTGCTTAATGCGAACACAGCCAGGGCCAGGCTGGGCTCCACAGGTCAAAAAGGCCTACTACATTCTTTTCAGCTTCTAGTAAATGTGGCAATACATTCTACAAAGCCATGTAAGAAGAAAAACATATTGTATAAATTTCATGTGTAAAAAAAGACTTACAGCTCACTTATTACAACCTGAATGTAGCTTGCTATCTGTGTGCAGGTCCCAGCAGTCCAGAGCTCTGCATCCTGTGTTCAGCCTCCTCCAATTCACAGCTCTTCAGGTATCGGAAAGTTGCCTGTGAGGCCAAGCTTGCACAACACTGAGCCTCAAAATCTCCGAACTGCACAGGTATTTCAATGTGTTTTTCATATAAGGAACAAAGTTAAGAATATTTTGTCCTGTGTTAAGAACTTGGGTTGAAGTACATTTTACATAATATCTCTATCTTTTCATTTAGACTCATTGTTGCATGCATATATAGTTCTGAAAATGTCTCATGTTCCTATTTCCTCCAGTCTCTTATGAATCTCAATGTAAGCTAAATTAACCCACTGATCCCCAGGGATGAGACAGACACTACTGGAAGCTTCTAGAATTTTTAAAAGGTATAAAATATTCTTAAAATCAGTTTGTGTAGTGTTAGTTCTATATCAGAAATATGTAACATCACCAAACCAAATGACAGCCTTATCTGTGCTGGTTATAGCATTGCATCAATTCCTGTCCTGCTATATCTTACACACTGCTGTGAGATACAGTACTGGATATTTCTCTGGACTCTGCACAGCCTGCATCTTCACTGTAAAAAATATCTGTAAAATTTATAGTAAAAATTTGTAAAATACCAACTGTTAATGTAACAGCCTAAACATTATTTTGAATATATACTGAATTACCTTAACACAAACATAAATTTCACATAATGTTTTCTACATTTCCATTATGGAAATGTAGAAATCACAAGATTTTATTGTAAAACTTTTAGAAATTGTAAAATTAATAGTTTGATATTGCTAGCAGTTAACATAAGATTAACATTACTCATAGGCCAAATTTTGCAGCTTTCTGATGTAAAACCTTTAACCAAACTGCAGAAATTATTCTTTACAGAGACTGAATACTGGTATGATTTTTTGGTTTAATATAATTAAGCCTGAGAAATAAAACGTTGCAAAGGCCTATGGACTTTTTTTGTCTTAGACATTATTATTTTTTTGTCTTTTTCCATGTCTTTTTATAGGCCTTATCATATTTAAAAACTCATCAAAGTTTCCTTGACATTGTCTCCATTGTGAAATTTTCGGATTCCAGTGGAATCAAAAGTGGGTGTGGCCACACTGTTAGACATCGCCTCTCTAATAGGCACATTGTGGAGATCTGAAATTCTGTACGTAGGTAACTCACCCCAAATGACAAAAAAGGTCTCCTGAAGATTTGCAGTAAAATGGACTTGGAGGCAGCCATTTTGGGTCAAAAGGCAAATTTTGGCTATTTTTGACATTTTCATACGTTGAATGTTGACAAACTCTTCCTAGGAATTTTTAGCTATCAGCTTCATTTTCGGCTAAACAATGCAGTTAAGGGATGGGGCATTAAAGTTATCAAAATTGTGAGTTTTAGAGCATGTTCAGATATGTGGCCAAACGGCAAACTCACTAAAGCAAAGAAAGCACTTTAGCTTTCACATAAAATGTTAAATTGGCACCAAACTTGGTATGAGTGATCCACGTTGGATGTTGTCATGTTTTGACATCGCCAAGGGTTGCTGCCGCGACAGGCACCAACAACCTTGCGGCCACAGCTCCGGTGAGCCGCCTTGACAATGGAGGCATGGAACATGGTCCACTTGGACTCAATGTCCCCCGCCTCCCCTGGGATGTATTCAAAGCTCTGCCGGAGATGGGAGTTAAAGCTCCGTCTCACAGGGGATTCCACCAGACGTTCCTAGCAGACCCTCACAACACATTTGGGCCTGCCAGGTCTGACCGGCATTCTCCCCCACCACCAGATAGTGGTCAGTGGACAGCACCGCACCTCTCTTCACCTGAGTGTCCAAGACATACGGCCGCAGATCCGATGAAACATTGACAAAGACGATCACCGAACAGCGGCCAAGAGTGTCCTGGTGCTAAGTGTACATATGCCTGAACATGGTGTTCGTTATGGACAATGTATGACGAGCACAGAAGTCCAACAACAGAACACCACTTGAGTTCAGATCGGGGGGAGCGTTCCTCCCATCCATGCCCCTCCAGGTCTCACCGTCATTGCCCACGTGAGCATTGAAGTCCCCCAGTAGGCATGTATAGGTCCCTGTAACTTACCATAGACTTGATTTTTACAATAAAATGTCATAATGTATTGTGCAGTTTTGTCATGTTTTTTACTGATGTATATTAATTATGTTTACGGTGTATCTGTTGTTTGTATAGTAATTTTCTGTAAACAGTTTCAGTTTTATTTAGTTTATTCACACCATTTAAAAAAATTCCATGATAACCTTGCAACACATTGTCTTACTGCACTTGTTTCGTCCCTCTCGGTGATATGTTCCTAATATATTCTTGGATTTTTCATCTTGGATGGTGGCTGTGGTTCTCACTAGACTTCTGTTTTCTGAATTGGGGTAGAATCCACGTTTCATGTTGAGTAGCCTTTGTGTTTGAACATCAGTAACCTGGCCACACAGTGCAGTGTGCCACTATGTAAAACATTGGTACCAGAAAACGATTATGTCTTTCATGAGGTTGCATTTAAATTGCAGTTTTTTGGGGGAGGGTGGGTAGGAGGTTGACACCACCATGTATTGTCACACATGCCTTGTGGACATGTTTTCAAAGTTGCCAGGGGGCCCTGTGGAGCCATTTCTGTTGCAATTTTTACAAGGAAAAATTTGGCCTCGTTAGTTATAGTTCCAGTATCAAGACATTTTGGATAAGTCCATGCTCCCAATTTTGTTGGAACAGTTTGGAGCTGACCCCTTCCTCTTCCAACATTGCTGTGCACAAGAGCACAAAGCAAGGTCCATAAAGACATGGATGGCCAAGTATGGGGTCAATGAACTTGACTGGCCTGCACAGAGTCCTGACCTCAACTTGATAGAACACCTTTGGGATAAATTAAACCAGAGACTGAGAGGGAGGCCTTCTTGTCCAACATCACTATGTGACCTCACAAATACACTTCTAGAAGAATGGACAAAAATCCCCATAAACCCTCCTAAACTTTGTGAGCAGAAGAGTTGAAGCTGTTCTAGCTGCAAAGGATTAGGAATGGGATGTCAGTTAAACTCATGTGAGTCAAGGCAGGTGAGCGAATATTTTTGGCAATATTAAGTTATTACTGAAATGACTGGAGAGTAGGGGAGGAGTCTCTGGTCCATTACTCAGTTGGTTTGAATCTTACATAAAGAACGCGGGTTTCTTTGTTTCAGTAGTTAATTTCTCATGGAAGAGGACAGAAGTATTCCAAGATTCGATCCTAGGACCTCTCTCACTTAAAATATCTACATGCTCATACTAGCTCGGTTATAACAGGAAAGATTGGTTACCCTACCTATGCAGGATGTTATGATGTCACCAGCCGACTTTGAACCCATGCTTGAACAGATGCTTGGAACAGATAAATGTGTGAATGTGCCATGGCGTTCTCCGGCTGAACAGAAAACAAAATTTTAATTATCTTTGGACCAATCGAGAGTCAACACTCAGCTTCAGCTATTACTGCTTGAAAGTAGAAATCTGGGAGTAGTGATGGACTCTGACCTGAACCTTCAGAGCCACACATAAACACAGTTAAGTCAGCCTTCCATCACCTGAGGAACATTTTCAGGATTACAGGACTAGGGTCTCAGTGAAATCTAAAAAAGCTTACCCATGTGTATAACTTTATTTGCATTGATTACTGCAACAATGTCTTCACGGGTCTGCCTAAATAAGCACAAATCAGACAGCTGCACCTGGTTCAGAACGCTGCTGTTCACATTTTCATAAAAAACACTAAAATACAGCACATCACCCCAATTCTAAAGTCCTGACATTGACTTCTTGTGTTATTCTAATAAACGAGAGACCAAGAGAGAGAGAAAGAAGCGTGGTGTTCCAGTCCTTAAGGTAACAACCCTCTTTTCCTTTTAATGCTGTTTGTTCGTTCTTCCTTTTTTTAGGGTCATACAGTCATTCGTTCAGCCAATACCAGCCTGCCTCCAATGCTTATGTCCCAACGAGTGATAGCCCCCAGTCCATCCCAACTACATGGCCAGAGACTGTCCTCCAAACCTGGAATGCCACGATCCAGCTCATCCAGCATGACCAGTGCGGTAAACTATCAGCAGGTGGGAATTTCTCCTGGCCTCATTTATTCAAGTTGTGTTTTTTTTTTTGTGTTTTGTTGCTGTTTTGACTAATAAAAGAAAATTGGTCAGTGGCTGGAGTAAAGTTATGTTTAACAAGTTTTAGTTCCGTAGCCAGAATTGCTTTACTCACTTAAATAGATATTTAGAGATCATCTCAAGGCAATAAAAAGACCCAAAAGTTGTTTCTATCTACATATCAACAATAAAGCTTTTAAATATACTATGGCAAAAAACAAACATCTTTTAACTTTGTTGTAATTCTGCATTGCTGCATCTTTGATTCCGAGCTGTTTATTGCATGTCTTTCTTTATACTTCTTTTGTGACTGCACTACCGTGCCAAAAAAAACTTTCAAAAAGTATTGAGTGGTTTTATAATATCTCTCTTCACTTCATCTGAGAAAACAATAATTGTAACTTAATATTTTGTTGTAGATTTTACAAAGCCAGAATATTCTGCTGTTAAATAAAGATGAGGTGTCATATTGGTTATTTGTAATACTTACAAGACCATAGACTGCATTTGATCCAGAATGTGTTCCAAGTGAAACTTGTTTAAAAAGTTGTATTATTTAGTTTCTTCTATGCAAAAATTTGGCATAAAATTTTGGGGAAAAAGTACTGTCCATGATACTTTCTAATGGTTGCAATTCAATAATTTGTCTAAGTGTTTTGTTTTTGATAAGCCTAATATGCCTTACAGGCCAGCCAACAGGTGGCAGCTTCCCAACGCTCCAGCTCCAGTGCCATGTACATGAACCTGGCCCACATGCAAGCAGCAGCAGCAGTGGGGGCCAGTGGTGTGACAGGTGGTCTTGCTGGATCTTCAGCAGTCAGCCCATCCACCATGTCTGGCTCGGCCAGTGGAGCAGTTAGCTCCATGGCTGACCAGGCCAGCAGTCAGGCAGCTGCCAAGCTGGCTCTACGGAAGCAGCTGGAAAAAACCTTGCTGGAGATCCCTCCACCCAAACCCCCTGCCCCACTGCTCCACTTCCTCCCCTCTGCAGCTAACAGTGAGTTTATCTACATGGTGGGCTTGGAGGAAGTGGTACAGAGTGTCCTGGACAGTCAGGGTAAGTACTTAAAGAAATAGTTTTATATTAGAACTCTAAAAAACAACTGAGATCTACGGACAGACAAAGTTTGAGTAGTAATAATATCTTATTTGTAGCAAGGTACCGATGTGTAAAATGACTATTCATATGAGGCTCTGCAGCGAGTCTACCTCTTTTGTAGAGAAAGAAATTGGTTTACGTTTATGGAGATTTGATAAAAAGTAGAAGAATGTTTGTCAGAGTACTTAAAGTGATGAATATCACTTGTCACTAGTTGTGCTGAAACAATGCGTTTTGTGCAGGTAAATTCAGGGGGTCTTTGGCCCGTATGGAGCCTTTCTTCTGTGCCCAGTGCAGAACAGATTTCACACCCCACTGGAAGCAAGAGAAGAGTGGCAGAATCCTCTGTGAGCAGTGCATGACATCCAATCAGAAGAAGGCTCTGAAAGCAGAACATACCAACAGACTGAAAAATGCTTTTGTGAAGGCTCTTCAGCAGGAACAGGTCAGCATTGATACAATATTGACCATTTATTGGTCTGAAGGTATTCGTCTCTTATAAAAAGATACACTTTTAAAGTGGGAAAATATTGTTTTATGACTTTATAAGATGAAACAGATCAGAGCTGTGCCACTCCTTCACCAATTTTAAGAAATTTGGTCTCTTTCATTTTGTTTTCATGAATGATAGCAGGTGTTTTGCATTAACTATTAATAATCTGGTAAGGCTTTTTGAAAGTTAGGTTGTCAGTCTAACATTCTAAATCAGTATGTCTAATAAGTCCAGGGCAAGCAAGCTAGTAGAGCCTAAAACCTGGATAATTATATAATTAATGTTAGCTTCATATGTTAATCATGAGAGGGTAGAAAAGCAAACCCTGCAATTAACACGATTACATAATGATTTCTACAAAAGTTTATTTAGTCCATTGCTTTGACGTTCCACCAATAAATCTTTTGAAGTGACCAACTATATCAACAGATACTGACTTTTATCCTACTACTGCATTTAATACTTGATTTTTCCAGGTGTTTTTTAGCTCAAAAATCTTATTTGCAATGCACTGATACATAAAAGTCAGAAGTTTGGTGCCAATTTGTAAGGCACCAAATGTGATAAGTTTTAGTTTTTTTGTTGTCCATTTTATCTTTTATTTTTACAACATATGAGTAAAAATACCACAGCTTCACAGTATCATCGTACTGAGTCTCACAGGGTGAGAATCTAATGTCGGCCCATGAACACCCCTGATTTATGTTTAATCAGTAAACACTGCTATTTAAGTTGTTTCTGTTATTTTCCTTAAAATCACACTGACCAAGACCATTGGTAAGGCTTCATCACTAAGCTTTTCATTCTGAGTAATGAACTGTAACTGTGTGGGTCTGTCAGGAGATCGAACAAAGGCTACAGCAGCAGACAGCTCTCTCTCCCAGCTCTGCTGCTACGGGCTCCAACGTCTCCAAGACTGATACGATGATCCGACAGCATGCCCTGCGCCAGGTACACACAATTTTCAGAATGTGTGCTGGAAGTATTTATGTTATACAAATAAAAAAAACCATTGCATTCATGTCAAATTAGATGTTCTCTATTACTATAGGATAATTGCAGTCTATTTGACAACTTTGATGCTAATTTAGAAGATATTCAAGAAGGATTTCCTACATATTTAATAATTCACAGAAACGTGTAGGGAAAGGGAACAAAAACCATAGAATAAAGAACCATAGAATTTCCTGAATTTTCTCATGAATTTAATTGAAAATAACTTTGGAATGATACAATCAAACCCTTTGGTTTCAGAATCAAATAATTTAATTGTGTTCCTTGGAACTTGAAACTACCAACCATCTATTTCTTAGTTACCAAAAGTTCCATCAGGGGCCCAGTATCTTGGCCCCCACCTCCTTTGGGCAGATTGCAGTGAACAGGATCAAACTTCCTACTCTGATCAGAGCATCACCCACTTTGCCAAATACTCTTATTGGTTATTTTTAGTAACCACAATATCAAGAGGATACTGGTGTGACCAAAATTGAGATATCTTTTTTTTTTTTGCCTTTCCATTCTTTCAACAATAGGAAATGTATTATATAAAAATATGTAATCCTTGTATTGTGGACAGAAATTGTTTTGTTTTTTTATTCAAGAATTGTTATTTGTAGTTTAAGTAGATTATTCACTAAATCTTTGAAGGTTTTTTTAGCAACTACTTTATAAGTGAGTAACTACATAAAGTTGAGCTGTGTAATTTTTACATATGAAGTTAGCGATGATATTTTTGTGTTTTTGTATCTAGGCTCAGCAGCCTCAGGCTTCTCTGCAGCGAGGTTTGTCTAACTCTGCAAGAGGCGTCCTTTCCAACTTTGCTCAGGCTTCTCAGTTGTCAGTGGCCAGCAGCCTTATGGGAATGAGCAGTGCAAAGCACTGTGGTAGTGGTGGGAGTAGTAACAGACTGCAACATGACAGCCGCCGTCAAATCTACAACATCCCAGGTAAGGACAAACTATTAGTTTTTTGTTGTTTGTTTTTATTACATAAATAGACATTAATAACTTATGAACAGCAGAATGTATATTACATTGTTTCAGTATCTATAAAGTAAGGACAATTAAACAAAAATTGTGAAACATTTCAACATCTGAATTGTGATACACAAAGGCAAATGTATGAACAATTCGGCAGAGTAGAAACAGAAAGTAAAAGCTAAAAAACTTGTCTGAGAAAACAGTGATTGTTGTTTGGGGTTTATTGGGTAAAGTACAGTAGTTCAAGTCATAAAGAAGCACTTCCATTATTTAAAATTTGGTTATCTGAGATTTTGAAATGGTAAACTTTGTTTGAATTCAGCTTGTTTAGAGTATACCATTTGAGAAGTTATGCAGGAAGCTTTAGCATAATCAGCTTTATGTATGCTCATTATGCTAGACATATGAGTCATATGGGATGTCTAGCATATTGTATTCTAGGTATATAGTATGCTTTTGTTTTGGTTTCGATCAGTAAGTTGCAAGTTTGAAGTAAACACAAAATAACATCTCTAACACATCACTCAACCCATGCTGATAACGGGCATTCAAATACTTCAGAGATGACATCATCCACAATAAACATACAGGAATGTTTATGGTGGATAAACCATAAACCTACTGAATTGATGTCCTGTAGATAAGTCACAGAACTTATCTGTGACTCTGTTTTACACTTCTTACATTCTATTACTAACATTTTTTTAGTAATAGCATTCTAAAAAATTGTGGCTAATTGATGGCGAGGCAGCATGCCATGCCTCGCCACCGCATAACCGTGGCAAGGCAGTAAACAATGCACTGTACATAGCAGGTTATGGTGCAGAAGGGATTTTTGTTTCACCTAAAGCAATTATCATTTTAAATGATGATAAAAACTTGCCCTAAAGTCTTATAATGCACACAACATTTGTAGTAAAGAACAATATATTGGTAGTTGACATTTATAATTGAAATTATAAATGCATAGCCACTTTTCTCTGGTTGTTTTGCAACATTCAAATATGAATTTTACTCCATATAGATGATTATGCTTTTTTGTGAATTTCACTCATAAAAACTGTATAAGGGATAAAATAATTTTAGAAAAAATGTAAATTTTTAATGACTCTTTATGGTGAGTGGATCTTGAAGATTCGGTTCCCTTCAAAGAGCCACAAGTCCCATCATTTGTGTACAGTCAATGCTGCGGTGGGGTTACTGCAAAATAATGTAAATGATCACTTTTAATACCCCCAGATTGTTCAGCAAACTTTCAGAGCTGCTTTCTCTGAAATCTCGTTTTCTGACTGCCAACGTTCAAATGGCATGTTTTTTTTTTGTTTTGTTTTTTATTCCCATGTGTTTGACACAATTGGAAAGCTTAGAAGTCTCACTTTCAGAATCTGTAAATAATTCAAAATGTCCCCAAGTAGACTTGTTCATGGTTTTGTCATGGCCAGTCACAATTTGTTGTTCATATTCCTATTTAAATGTACCAGTGTACTGGCTGTAAGTGGTGGTATTGTGTAAGAAGTGTTTCCTGTGTGGTTTAGTGCATCAATCTTTTGTGCTCTATATTTGTCTGATCCTGTAGGGTTAAATATTGCCTACCTGAACCCTGCAGCTGTTGGAGCCCATAAGACTTCCAGCTTAGCAGACCGGCAGAGAGAGTACCTGTTGGACATGATCCCTCCTCGGTCCATATCGCAGTCCATCACTGGGCAAAAATGAGCCCCATTAATTTCTCATGTGTGTCAGAGGCCAGCCTCATTTGATAACTTCCCCCAGTCTGAGGCACGCCCAGATCAGCTGATGTGTTCACCCCACAGTTTCATCGCATGCAGTGCCTGTCCGTGTGCCTACCTTAGACCAACCCATGTGAACCTACCAAGCTGAACAAAACACAAGCTGTCAGTGCATCTCAGTTGTTCTTATTATTGCAGAAATTCCATTCTTCTGTAATTTCCTTTATAATCACTGGTGGTAGCGCCTATACTTGCAACTGCCATATAAGCTTAAGTTAGTGTTATTCATTATTTTATAATTTGCTTTTGAAGTGTTTGTTTGATATTTCTGTTTCCCTACTGTTTACCTTTTACTTCAAGGCACCCAGTCATTGTCAATTTAGTGAGACAATTTGAAAATGATCAACAGGGTTCACTCTGGTTGCTATGCAACATAAAGTTACTCTGAAGTTTGTAAACATGATTTGTTTGCCAAGTAGTATTTAAAGAAAGTGAAAAATTCTGTTGGGAACAAAAACGGATTATATTAGGCAGCATTCGATCTTGAAAGACAATGCTGTTTTAAAGAATTGAACATTTGAGATCAAAGTGTTTTCCATGGATCACCTCAATGACCTGCCTCAAAGACATCATCAGAGTCATCACAATGATCCACACCCAGAACTGATTTCAGCCTGGAGTTCAGGGCAACACCTGGATATCTTGAAGTAGGCCCCAACCAACTTCAGTACCCACCAACTGAAAAAAGAAAATTATGTACAAAAGAAAATCTTGTGGAAATTAAGTGTGGAAACCCTCTCCACCATTCATCAGCAAGGGGTTTCCTGTGCTTTAGTTAGGATGTCAGTCTTCTGCTGATATAGATGTGTTGCTAACACGTATGTGTAGGACATTCTGTTACTATCACCATCAGATGAAGGAGGTGGAGGGCTGATAAACCAGAAGACAGAGGTGCCTGCACTGGCTAGTTGTTAAGAAGCCAGTTCATGTTGTTTGTAACCTGCAAACAACCTCTCCTTCCAACTGTCCGTCATACTTTACCTCTTCATTATTCACACACATAGTGAACTCTTTTTATCCCAGCAGTTCCTGTAGAGAACGTACCAAACATACAACTTCAATCTACATCCAGATCACAGATTCTGTATCTAAAATACCCAACTCTGGGTTCTGGTTCCAGTCTGTGTTTTTACTTTTGTAATTCCTGCATTTGTTCTCTCCCATTATATTTGCTTCTTTTTTTGTGCGCCGTCTCCAAATGATTGGTGGCGCACCTGAGAGATGTCAGCCACTGGAGACGATAATAATCTAAGACATTAACTGTTGATAAATCTATGGATTGTGTATAGATACCTAGCTTCAGAGAATTAAGGGGGTGGATGTTTTACAGGAGAGACATAGATCAATCAATGTGTGCACATTGTGCTCACAAGTTGCCTCACTCAAGAGGAGCACTTTTCATATTTCCAAATGGAAATTTTGTTTGTTTTCTGGCAAAGAGGAAATGAATGTTGGAATGAAAGTGCATATGCATTGTTTATTGCTGATGAAATGTTTAGACCCCTGAACACATGCTGTCCTAACTACAGTGTTCTGTCAATCTATGAAACACCAACAAGTTTAAAGTGTGCCCAGTTTAACTTTTAATGTAATGCGTTTCATTTTCAATGCCATGTTAACAAGTATTAGTATCAGATAAAGTTGATAGACCCTTCCTCCTCTCACTAGTACCTTTCTTGTAAAGAAAGGTATGACCTTACTTTCCCTACACCTCAAAAGTTATATCCAAAGTATTTCACTGTACACTTTTCTCTACTTTGATAGACAATCTGCATTCTTCTGTGATATACTCAGTAAGCAGGATATGGGCTCTGCTGGCAGTTCAAGGTTTGACCTTTTGATTTTCATGTTCTTGGCATTATAAAAGTCTCCAGCATGAAGGTGCAGTACTTTGTGTTTTCTGTAGATGTTCTTGTTGTAAGGGACCCTTTATGGTGAAGGCCTTTGCACAGGTTCATTGTGTTGGTGCCAGGTCCCAGTGGTTTCTGGCCCTCTTGTCAGGTGAGGAAAACCTATGTGATAAGATGGTTTGCCTTTTTCATAAGAGGAAATTAAGTTTGAGTTATTTCTCATCTCTGGATCTTTTTGCATTCTTTTATTTGTTCCTGAGTGATGACCTGTACAAATTTTGATAAAAATTTACTCTTTGCACAGTATTTATTTATTTTTTTTAAACTGTCCATGCTGTTTTCTTCATTCTGACTGTGGTTATATTTGCACACTTCTTTGTTTGCAGGGTCTGTAGCTTCACTTTTTGAACAGGAAATGGTGCATGATCCATATTCACATTTTGTTGGCTGGAGCAGGACTTGAAGAACTCACACAAATGATAAAATGTTAGTTGCACAGGTTCTTGCATCTACATGGACTCTGAGTCCATAAACTGCTTGGTAGACTGAAGCTGTCTTAACCATTGTGCTTAGTTAGTTTGCAATAACTCAGGTATTTCAAACAGTGTTCACTCGGTCTTCAGTATTATTCATGGATATGGTGGTTACCCCGAGATGCAGGGAATTCTAAGGTGATTTTGAGGGGAGGTCAAATGAGTTCACACTGGGGTTGTCACAATGCTAAAGTTTTATACAGATGTTAAGAAATACTAAATAAAGAGGCGTTTTTTTTTTTTTTTTTTTTAAAGAAGGCTTCTTTCTAGTTAAAAGCAAAAACTATGATTAATTAAAACATGATTACATTTTTGCGTCCATAGCTGGGGCATAACCAATAAGTATTGAAGAATTTAAATATACATAACATCCTTTTGACATTTTAGGCAAATATAAAGCGGTCAATTTATATCGATTTTGATATTTATTATTTTGACAACCCTAGTTCACAGTACTCTGGACTGAAACATTTCCTACACCACATTTTACAATCTTCAGTCATCTCAGAAATCTGTCTTACCTAAATGAATGCAAAATCACATGGAATATTTTTAAACTCACCCATTTCTGCATCTAGATAGGCACACATACACATTTAAAGTATAATGTGCCACATGAGAATCAACTGTCTTTCTTGTTCCGGACAAAATGAGTTCTTCTAAACAGATTTTTCTTCTAGTTTAACGGTAGGTGTGATTCCATTATATTTCACTTTTAAACTTCGATGCTCTTCATTCAAGTATTCGCCTTAAATTTTCTTGAATTTGTTTGGGGCCGCTTCAAAAAAAATCCCCCATGGTGCTATACACAGTCAGTACAGAGGTGCATTATAGTGAACCTATACAGTTGAATAAATACATTGGTTAAATTAAATCAAATCATTCAAGTTCACTTCATCATCTATTTACAACAAATGCCATGTCTAGGGAGAAAAAAGGGTCAATTCATATCCAAATATAGTGAATTCAAATCATTTCAAATTCAGTTCAATTCAATACTTTTCATTGCAAAACATTCACATACTAAGGTTTGAACTCAGTTTTACAGTTTCCTATGCATTTAATATAAATTTATCACAAGATATCAGTAAAAAGTTGCTGGAAGCCCAGTTGATAACATAAAGTCATTGACATTGCAGCAACCCTTACTCCTGAGCTACAATGTGGCCACAATAAAAATTGAATATTCCCTTTGAAATTGGTTTAAAAAGTCCAGCTTGCTTTAGTCTGAGGGCCACCTTCAAGGACTGACCAGAAGTTAAAGGTCAGGAAACAGACCCTGAAAATAGACGCTCCAGTCCAACTCTACAGTATAACGGAAAACAAAATCTGACTTTAATGGAAGCATTAGCTTCAGCCTGGAGTAGCAAAACTGTCTAACACTTTAAATATTTCCAAACTGAAGGCTAGTGCTCCTTCTGTGGCCAAAGCCTAAATCTTGAGTCAAACTTTTATCATAACGGAGGCTTTGAGCCTAGTCTTAAAAGTCAATTGGGTGTTTGCCTCATGGACAAGAACTGTAAGCCATTTCCATCCAAAAAAGTCTGATAAATGAATCATTATTTTGTTAGCCAGGTTATATTATAGAAGGGTGTAGTACAACCAAATCCTTAAGAATTCACCCTTGTTACTTAGAGAATTATATGTATTAAAAAGATTTTTAAATTATGTTCTTAAACTTAAAAGGGCCAGTAAGTAGAAACTAAAATTGAAGACATATATATTATCTCCTTTACTTTTTGATGCAGGTAAAGACCTTTTTTTTCCTTTGTTTTTGGCCTTTCTAATCATAGAAACCTGTTGTATTCCAGCCTAGGCCTAGTTTTTCTGGACCACTTTGGACGTTTAACATTCGGACGGGCAATATTTTTAAAATTGTTATCTTACAATCTTACTAGGAATATCACTGCAATATATTTGTAGTATATATACTTTAAATATTTGTAGTACTATTACTAGAAATATTATTTTAGTATATTTGTAGTAAAGAGCATAAAAATGTGGTACTCCAAAACTTAAATTTTGGTATATGTTAATTTTGAATTAACATGAACAAACTGAATTATCTTGGACAAATATGAGCTGGCCAACACATTTTTCAATTGGGCCTAATTAGAATCCCTGCCATCCATAACTGTATTTAAAGGCACAGATTTATTTTAGTTTGGTTGATGAGGTTATCTTAATTAAAGTACATTAGAATCTTCATTTTCGCGATACAGATCAGTATTGATGGGTAAATGAGGACTCATGAAGCGTTTTGACCCAAAACAAAACTATTGATAGTGTGTCACAGAATACTGACACCTGCTGGACATCAAAAATCCCTACAGACAACATAGTTGGCAGACTAATTTGATGACCTAGTCTATGCAGGTCTAGACTTAAGTCATTGTATTTTTTTGCATATTATCTATTGTATTATTTCATATTTTCAGTTATATTCTTAAATACAGTCAAATAATGTTAACATGTACCATAACATGAAAATGTATGTGAATGTGTTTGGAATGAGGATGCTTGTGAACTGGGGTTTTCCCACAAATTTTCATTTTGAAAAATAAGTTTTTCCAAAATTTTGAAATTTAGTCTGTTATGTTTTTTTGACACAACTTCTCCTGCTGTAGAATAAATGAAGTAAACAATACATTTATATGAAAAAATTTATAGAAAGCAACTGAGTAATTTGTAGAATGGCTATATACAGTTAGGGCCAGAAATATTTGGACAGTAACACAATATTTGTGAGTTGGGCTCTGCATGCCACCGCATTGGATTTGAAATGAAACCTCTACAACAGAATTCAAGTGCAGATTGTAACGTTTAATTTAAAGGGTTGAACAAAAATATCTGATAGAAAATGTAGGAATTGTACACATTTGTTTACAAACACTCCACATTTTAGGAGCTCAAAAGTAATTGGACATATAAACATAACCCAAACAAAAAAGTTTTTTCTCAATATTTTGTTGCGAATCCTTTGGAGGCAATCACTGCCTTAAGTCTGGAACCCCATGGACATCACCAAACGCTGGGTTTCCTCCTTCTTAATGCTTTGCCAGGCCTCTACAGCCGCAGCCTTCAGGTCTTGCTTGTTAGTGGGTTTTCCGTCTGAAGTCTGGATTTGAGCAAGTGAAATGCATGCTCAATTGGGTTAAGATCTGGTGATTGACTTGGCCATTGCAGAATATTCCACCTTTTTGCTCTCATGAACTCCTGGGTAGCTTTGGCTGTATGCTTGGGGTCATTATCCATCTGTACTGTGAAGCGCCGTCCGATCAACTTTGCAGCATTTGGCTGAATCTGGGCTGATAGTATATCCCGGTACACTTCAGAATTCATCCGGCTACTCTTGTCTGCTGTTATGTCATCAACAAACACAAGTGACCCAGTGCCATTGAAAGCCATGCATGCCCATGCCATCACGTTGCCTCCACCATGTTTTACAGAGGATGTTGTGTGCCTTGGATCATGTGCCGTTTTCTTTCTTCTCCAAACTTTTTTCTTCCCATCATTCTGGTACAGGTTGATCTTTGTCTCATCTGTCCATAGAATACTTTTCCAGAACTGGGCTGGCTTCTTGAGGTGTTTTTGGGCAAATTTAACTCTGGCCTGTCTATTTTTGGAATTGATGAATGGTTTGCATCTACATGTGAACCCTTTGTATTTGCTTTCATGGAGTCTTCTCTTTACTGTTGACTTAGAGACAGATACACCTACTTCCCTGAGAGTGTTCTGGACCTCAGTTGATGTTGTGAACGGGTTCTTCTTCACCAAAGAAAGTATGCGGCGATCATCCACCACCGTTGTCTTCCGTGGACGCCCAGGCCTTTTTGAGTTCCCAAGCTCACCAGTCAATTCCTTTTTCCTCAGAATGTACCAGACTGTTGATTTTGCTACTCCAAGCATGTCTGCTATCTCTCTGATGGATTTTTTCCTTTTTTCAGCCTCAGGATGTTCTGCTTCACCTCAATTGAGAGCTCCTTTGACCGCATGTTGTCTGGTCACAGCAACAGCTTCCAAATGCAAAACCACACACCTGGAAACAACCCCAGACCTTAACTACTTACTTGATTACAGGTTAACGAGGGAAAGGCCTTTTGAGTTACTTGCAGCCTTTAGAGTCCATTGTCCAATTACTTTGGTCCCTTGAAAAAGAGGAGGCTCTGCATTACAGAGCTATGATTCCTGAACCCTTTCTCCGATTTGGATGTGGAAACTCTCATATTGCAGCTGGGAGTGTGCACTTTCAGCCCATATTATATATAAATTGTATTTCTGAACATATTTTTGTCAACAGCTAAAATAACAAAACCTGTGTCACTGTCCAAATATTTCTGGCCCTAACTGTACCTGAGTTCATCCTAAGTGTATCTGAGACTTCATTCTGATGCCTGGCCCTGTAATGCCTCAGTATTGAGCAGGTGGATTTATTTAAATAAGACAGTTCTGTCAAACATATGCAACACTTAATCTGCAGAACATAATATGAAAGTAAACTAAGAGTCAATTTCAGCTGAATTTGGATTCAGACAGATCAAGTAGAAAATAAAAAGAACAGGTTGAAACAACAACGAAGTGATAACCAATATCTTATTTGGTCCCAAATTACAAAACCTTTTGTTTGCCTTCAGGCTGTTCCATAGTTCACGCTGTACCATAAAAGATTAAGAATTATTTTGGCAAATGCATTCCGTTGACAGATTCGCTTCCTTATAAGCACAGTTTGGCACCAGTGTCATTTAGAAACGGTTCTTGTTTCGGTCACGTGACTTGCTGAAAGCAATACGCACACCAACACGGGTTTGTCTATGGGTGTGACACATCGGTGTTGCCGGACCCATCACTACAGATCAGTTTTTTATGTTTTAACTATTCCTGATAATTTATGGCAGCATATGACAGTGAATGATGTTACTTTTGTCAACAACTGATGCTGTCTTTATATTTTGGCAAGACAAAGGTCTCTTGTTTAGTTCTCTCCTCTCATGCCCTTGGTCTATCTGTTCATCAAGCACAGCTGTTTCAAAAGCGTCCTCCCTCCATCAGACAGTTATTCTGGCTGGCTATGCCTGACATGTTCTCTTTTCAGTAGATGTGGTTTAAATTTGAATAATCTTCCACAGGTAAGTTATTCTCTATCCGTGGCCTCTTATAAGAACAACAGTTCAAACAAATCTATCTTTTATCTGCATACTTTGACCTGATTCCAGTGAGCCTTGCACTGTTCTGTCCATTGCTCTGTTCTTTTATAACAAACTGACCAAATGTCAGTGACATTTAACTTACCAAAACATTTATCCAATAATACAGTGATTCTAGGCTCTACAACCTCTCATAAATGTTTCAGTTGAATATCAACTTTATGCATCTCAGAAATTAAGATGCGTGTGTGTGGGGTTGTTTTTTGTTTGTTGGTTGTTGTTTTTTTTTATTGTGGCTGCCCATTGAAGCATTTTGTATCGCAGTACTGCACCATGCACGTTGTATTAGAAATGCTTGATTCATTTTTCAAGTAGACATCCACATGAGTACAAGATGGTTGTGTTGTAGTAACTCAGTCCTGCCAATGTCTGCACCACATTTATACTGAAATATAAGCATTAGGTGTATAATCTGCTTAATTGCTTTTTTGGTTTTCTATTTAAGTTATCATTGACTTAAGTTTTATAAAACATTATCTCTATCTATCTATGTAGCAATGTTATATAAATTTTTTGCTATCTGCACCATGCTTGGACTACACTAAACAATGTGACACAGTATGTGTTATCGTTCTCCTGCCAAGTGTAAAGTTGAATTTGAGAAAGAACCAAACCCTCCTGTGTCTCATACTTTTCTGCAGATGCATCCATGTACTTTTGTTTGGACTTTTTTTTTTCCAGCTTCGTTTTTAGGTTTCTGAAATACTTTTATTCTGATGTCTTGACTAAGTTCAATTTTCTGTTTTATTGCAGTTTTAAAAAAACATAAATGTATTGACTATTGAAATAAATGACACAATATTTGCTAGGTTTGAAGTAATAACTTATTGTACAGAAGCATTTTTCCTCCCTTGTACTGAAAAATAAATTAAATGGGTGTACATTGTGTAGAAAAGCAAACAAAAAGCCATGAATATTGTGAAGCTTGTCATTTTGTTTTGTGATCACTGTGTATTATTGTGTAACAAATGTGCAAAACGTTAGGGATTCCATTCAACCCTGTCCACTCCCCAACCCCCATCCACCAAACCCCATGTGGTCTTGCTAGAAGCAATTGCTTGATTTTTTTTTTATTTTTGCTTGTTTTTGTTTTTTTTTTGTTTTGTTTTTTTTTTAGACTAAGGTTTGCAGTAAAGTGTTTACTGATTCAGGTGAACAACCTTTGCAGTCAATGACTGAGCTTTTGAAGCATTTAAACTTGATGTGTAAATTAAGGTGGGAATTGAAGTTTTTTTTTTTAATTCAATTGCTATTCTTGTTTGAACATGGTGTAAAGAAGCACTTATATATATGTTACAGTAGCTTATAATTTGTGAAAGTCCAGCCTACTCAGACAAGATGTGTTCATGCTAAATGGTGGTGACCTGATCATTCTGAATCAGTGATCACTTTTTTTGCCAATACCAGCATACAACAGTTGTGTTCCTGCACTCTTTGACTTTCTTGTATTGGTTATTGCTGCTTATGCTGGAAAAATACACACCGCAGAATCCAGTTCATCAAATAATTTTATTTGCATTTTGGTGATAATGTTGAAACAGATGTTGAAATCAACCAGAGACGAACTGAAGACATTTTTGTTTTGCTTACATCAATCCTGACCTTTTGCACATACTTAATATTTAACTATCTTCAAAGGTAAAAAATAATGCTGTTTGAATACTGCCAGTTGATTGACAATTATGCATTGATTGAAAAAAATAAGCTAATTTTGGAGGAATTAACTTTGTAATATTTATCTCTTGCAAGCTATGTTTAATAAAGGTTGAAACAATTTGCTTCAAAGTGTGATGTCATTATCTGAAGTCCTCAAGTTTTGTATTTTATTTCCTCCCAGGTAGGCCTAACTACCTCCCATTTTGAAGTAATGTGTAATAAGCAATACGGTGATTGTAATATTTTATCTTTTCCAGGGAGAGAAGCTGCCAAACACAACAATAATGGAGTATGAGTAATGTGCTCAAAAGATCACTACCTTTTTTTTCCTGTTTTGAATTTATAATTGCTCTTCAGGAGCATGTGTTCGGTACAGCAACAAAAGAAAACTCAACCTTACGTTGGGATCGTTGCATTGGTAATATTAAAACCTGCTGGTTAACAAATTAGCAATTTTTGCTAGTTTTTATTTATTATTATTTTTTCCTTAAAAAGCAGCACTGTATTCTGCTGTGACATGCAAAACAATCTCCAAATCCACCACAGCTATCAAGTATTTCAACAAAGACGTCAGGCTGAGGACGGCTTCACTCAAACCAGCTGGCCCTGCACCTGCATCAAAGGTGAGGTGCAGGGCCAGCTGGTAAGGTCGTATCTGTGAATGTATAACGAGGCGAACATCTTAAAACCTTTCTCCGGCTTACTTATTGGGGCTTCAGATCGATGTACATTATTAATTGTTACCTTGGAAAAGCCCTGCAAATACCCGGTGTAAAGTACCGTTTTCAATAGATCGGAAACATTTGAGCCGTTTTTCCCGAACCCGGAAGCTGAGATGCAAAGAGCCCAATAAGGCTGGAGTCTCATTGGGGCTCCAGCCACGCAGCGTCACGACGCTGCGTCACGGTTGCCTAGAGACGGGCACGACGCAGCCCGGAGAGCTTGTATCAACCCGCGTCTTTTTAAATTAACACCCGATTCTCCACCGTCCTAAAAATCCAGTTCAGCCTGGAAGACGTAAATTCCAGGCTGAACAATGTCATGTTTTGTAATTTCATGCACCGTGTTATGTCCGGATTGTTATTTGGCGTTGAGGAGCGCTCTCACTCCCGCCTGAGTTGTTGACTAAATCTAAGTGTTAGCAGCACAAGGTCAATTTTCAAGTTCGGTATGGGAGGATTTTATTAATTCATGATGATGTCTGAGTTTTTGGGAGACCAATGAGCATCCTTAAAATGACGGGAGCGATGCTTGGAGTACGGCAGCTTTTCTCCGGGAGCCGCTGTTTCAGAGCAAACGGCGGGACGAGCTGCAGGTATATTTACACAGGTCAACAGGTAGACTGAACACTGCGGGATTATTTATACAGGTCAACAGGTAGACTGAACACTGCGGGATTATTTATACAGGTCAACAGGTAGACTGAACACTGCGGGATTATTTATACAGGTCAACAGGTAGACTGAACACTGCGGGATTATTTATACAGGTCAACAGGTAGACTGAACACTGCGGGATTATTTATACAGGTCAACAGGTAGACTGAACACTGCGGGATTATTTATACAGGTCAACAGGTAGACTGAACACTGCGGGATTATTTATACAGGTCAACAGGTAGACTGAACACTGCGGGATTATTTATACAGGTCAACAGTAGACTGAACACTGCGGGATTATTTATACAGGTCAACAGGTAGACTGAACACTGCGGGATTATTTATACAGGTCAACAGGTAGACTGAACACTGCGGGATTATTTACACAGGTCAACAGGTAGACTGAACACTGCGGGATTATTTATACAGGTCAACAGGTAGACTGAACACTGCGGGATTATTTATACAGGTCAACAGGTAGACTGAACACTGCGGGATTATTTACACAGGTCAACAGGTAGACTGAACACTGCGGGATTATTTACAGTCAACAGGTAGACTGACACTGCGGGATTATTTATACAGGTCAAAGGTAGACTGAACTGCGGGATTATTTATACAGGTCAACAGGTAGACTGAACACTGCGGGATTATTATACAGGTCAACAGGTAGACTGAACACTGCGGGATTATTTATACAGGTCAACAGGTAGACTGAACACTGCGGGATTATTTATACAGGTCAACAGGTAGACTGAACACTGCGGGATTATTATACAGGTCAACAGGTAGACTGAACACTGCGGGATTATTTATACAGGTCAACAGGTAGACTGAACACTGCGGGATTATTTACACAGGTCAACAGGTAGACTGAACACTGCGGGATTATTTATACAGGTCAACAGGTAGACTGAACACTGCGGGATTATTTACACAGGTCAACAGGTAGACTGAACACTGCGGGATTATTTATACAGGTCACAGGTAGACTGAACACTGCGGGATTATTTACACAGGTCAGCAGGTAGACTGAACACTGCGGGATTATTTATACAGGTCAACAGGTAGACTGAACACTGCGGGATTATTTACACAGGTCAGCAGGTAGACTGAACACTGCGGGATTATTTATACAGGTCAACAGGTAGACTGAACACTGCGGGATTATTTATACAGGTCCAGGTAGACTGAAACACTGCGGGATTTTTATACGGTCAACAGGTAGACTGAACACTGCGGGATTATTTATACAGGTCAACAGGTAGACTGAACACTGCGGGATTATTTATACAGGTCAACAGGTAGACTGAACACTGCGGGATTATTTATACAGGTCAGCAGGTAGACTGAACACTGCGGGATTATTTATACAGGTCAGCAGATAGACTGAACACTGCGGGATTATTTATACGGGTGAGCAGGTAGACTGAACACTGCGGGATTATTTATACAGGTCAGCAGATAGACTGAACTGCGGGATTATTTATACAGGTCAGCAGGTAGACTGAACACTGCGGGATTATTTATACGGGTCAGCAGGTAGACTGAACACTGTGGGATTATTTACACAGGTCAACAGGTAGACTGAACACTGCGGGATTATTTACACAGTCAACAGGTAGACTGAACACTGCGGGATTATTTATACAGGTCAACAGGTAGACTGAACACTGCGGGATTATTTATACAGGTCAACAGGTAGACTGAACACTGCGGGATTATTTATACAGGTCAAGGTAGACTGAACACTGCGGGATTATTTATACAGGTCAACAGGTAGACTGAACACTGCGGGATTATTTATACAGGTCAACAGGTAGACTGAACACTGCGGGATTATTTATACAGGTCAACAGGTAGACTGAACACTGCGGGATTATTTATACAGGTCAACAGGTAGACTGAACACTGCGGGATTATTTACACAGGTCAACAGGTAGACTGAACACTGCGGGATTATTTATACAGGTCAACAGGGTAGACTGAACACTGCGGGATTATTTATACAGGTGAGCAGGTAGACTGAACACTGCGGGATTATTATACAGGTCAACAGGTAGACTGAACACTGCGGGATTATTTATACAGGTCAGCAGGTAGACTGAACACTGCGGGATTATTTATACAGGTCAGCAGGTAGACTGAACACTGCGGGATTATTTACACAGGTCAACAGGTAGACTGAACACTGCGGGATTATTTACACAGGTCAGCAGGTAGACTGAACACTGCGGGATTATTTATACAGGTCAACAGGTAGACTGAACACTGCGGGATTATTTATACAGGTCACAGGTAGACTGAACACTGCGGGATTATTTATACAGGTCAACAGGTAGACTGAACACTGGGGATTATTTATACAGGTCAGCAGGTAGACTGAACACTGTGGGATTATTTATACAGGTCAACAGGTAGACTGAACACTGCGGGATTATTTATACAGGTCAACAGGTACTGAACACTGCGGGATTATTTATACAGGTCAGCAGGTAGACTGAACACTGCGGGATTATTTATACAGGTCAACAGGTAGACTGAACACTGCGGGATTATTATACAGGTCAGCAGGTAGACTGAACACTGTGGGATTATTTATACAGGTCAACAGGTAGACTGAACACTGCGGGATTATTTATACAGGTCAACAGGTAGACTGAACACTGCGGGATTATTTATACAGGTCAACAGGTAGACTGAACACTGCGGGATTATTTATACAGGTCACAGGTAGACTGAACACTGCGGGATTATTTATACAGGTCAGCAGGTAGACTGAACACTGCGGGATTATTTATACGGGTGAGCAGGTAGACTGAACACTGCGGGATTATTTATACAGGTCAACAGGTAGACTGAACACTGCGGGATTATTTATACAGGTCAGCAGGTAGACTGAACACTGTGGGATTATTTATACAGGTGAGCAGGTAGACTGAACACTGCTGGATTATTTATACAGGTCAACAGGTAGACTGAACACTGCGGGATTATTTATACAGGTCAACAGGTAGACTGAACACTGCGGGATTATTTATACAGGTCAACAGGTAGACTGAACACTGCGGGATTATTTATACAGGTAAGCAGGTAGACTGAACACTGCGGGATTATTTATACAGGTGAGCAGGTAGACTGAACACTGCGGGATTATTTATACAGGTAAGCAGGTAGACTGAACACTGCTGGATTATTTATACAGGTCAACAGGTAGACTGAACACTGCGGGATTATTTATACAGGTCAACAGGTAGACTGAACACTGCGGGATTATTTATACAGGTCAACAGGTAGACTGAACACTGCGGGATTATTTATACAGGTCAACAGGTAGACTGAACACTGCGGGATTATTTATACAGGTAAGCAGGTAGACTGAACACTGCGGGATTATTTATACAGGTGAGCAGGTAGACTGAACACTGCTGGATTATTATACAGGTCAGCAGGTAGACTGAACACTGCGGGATTATTTATACAGGTCAGCAGGTAGACTGAACACTGTGGGATTATTTATACAGGTGAGCAGGTAGACTGAACACTGCTGGATTATTTATACAGGTCAACAGGTAGACTGAACACTGCGGGATTATTTATACAGGTCAACAGGTAGACTGAACACTGCGGGATTATTTATACAGGTCAACAGGTAGACTGAACACTGCGGGATTATTTATACAGGTAAGCAGGTAGACTGAACACTGCGGGATTATTTATACAGGTGAGCAGGTAGACTGAACA